CTTTAAAACCACCTGTGATCGAATAAACGTAAAGTAGAGCTGTTTAATGTCGCACTGTGGAACATTCCAGGCACAGCGATGATAAATCCACGGAAGCAAGCACGAAAAGTTACACCGTGCACCTTTAAAAAACTGGAATTTTACCTATGACGCAACTAAACAGGTAAAATCTAATCTAAACTAAATCTCATCTGCAGCTTCGCCTCGATCCGTGCGCTGTGTGGATGTAAATAAACACACGTGATGAACAACTCTCGCGTTTTTACTTTTTAAAACGACTCAAACTGGATTCACAGCATCGTTTTGTGAACATTATTTGCGCTGCAGTTTAAATTTACCACTTTACTTTACGAGACGTGAGGGATAAAGTCTTCTCATTATTTTTGCTATTTCCTGAGTTTGCGTCTTGCATCAAAACAACAGTTTTCTTCATTATTTGTCTCCAAAACCAAACTGAAACAAAAGATAAAGATTTGTTTTTTCAGTTTTCGATTTTGTGTTTAAATGAAAAATGGAAAAAACGGATAACAAATGTTTCCCATTTACGTGACTAAACCAGGACTAAACCAGGACTGAAACAGAACTAAACCAGGACTAAACTAGGACTGAACCAGGACTGAACCAGGACTGGACCAGGACTGAAACAGAACTAAACCAGGACTAAACTAGGACTGAACCAGGACTGGACCAGGACTGAAACAGAACTAAACCAGGACTAAACTAGGACTGAACCAGGACTGAAACAGAATTAAACCAGGACTAAACCAGGACTGAACCAGGACTGAAGGACTAAACCGTTTTCAGTCCTGGTCTGGTCCCAGGCTCGGTCTCAATCCTGGTTTGGTCCTGGTCTCAATCCCGGTTTGGTCCCAGCCTGGTCCCAGTCTCAATCCCGGTCTGGTCCCGGTCTCAGTCATGGTCTAGTCCCAGTCTGGTCCCGGACCTGGATCAGTCCTGGTTCAGTCCGTATGTGGCGCAAAAGTCCGGCATCGCAGTCACGGAAGTCACGTAAACGTCCGTTAACCGTTTTTTCCATTTTTCATTTAAACACAAAATCGAAAACTGAAAAAAAACAAATCATTGTCTGTTTTTTCATTTTGGTTTTGGAGACAAATAATGAAGAAAATTGTTTTTTTTTTCTCATTTTCTTATTTTTGGTTTTATTTTGAAAAACGAATGAACGAACGACACACGGATTTTTTGTTTGTTTTGCCGCTCGAGGGTTCTGTATCATTGTCAAAAAAATAAATAAATAGTGTGCAGAAAACGGCCGCTGAAACGTTCTCTAAAACTCTTAAGTGTGTTTTTGCAGAGGGACCGAGAGTGCGACGTGTTAAAAAGTTGAAAAAGTCCAGTTTGCGTCGTGTGATACGTGTTCTTTAAGGGAAATGCCAAAGTAAAAGAGGAATGTGGAGGGTGTTTGTAGCGAGCGCAGGTCTGGAGAGGCTGAGGAGGCTGAGGTCTGTGCTGCTGCTGCTGCTGCTGCTGCTGCTGCTGCTGCTGCTGCTGCTGCTGCTGCTGGTACAGTGGCTTCTTACACAGGGGTTGGTTTGTTTTTGTTTTGTTTTTTTGAGAGTTTGTTCATTTGTGTTCCAGTCTCAGCAGCTGCTCTCGGCCGTTGATGGTTAAAGATCGGAGCTGCCCGTCCTCCTCCACCTCCACGCGCTCCTGACCGTTCTCCACGATTCTGCACGAAAACAGAAAGAGAGAGAGAAAAAAGAAAAGAGAAGGAGGGACGGAGAGAGAGAGAGAAAAGCAAAAAGGGGACGGGAGAGGAGACAGAGAGAAGCAGCGAGGGAGGGATAGAGAGAGAGAGAGAGAGAGAGAGAGGAGAGTTAAAATACAGCTCAGCCACATCCATTAAATCTCTCTTTACCAGAGTTCCGTATTTGGAATTCCGACCATAACCACAGCAGGTTTAACCCAGAGAATCCGTGTGTCATTTGTTCATTTGTTTTTCAAAATAAAACCAAAAACAACTATTTTCTTCATTATTTGTCTCCAAAACCAAAATGAAAAAACAGATAACGGACGTTTCCCGTTTACGTGACTTAAACTGCGATGCTGGACTTTTGCACCGCATACGGACTGAACCAGGACTAAACCAGGACTAAACCAGGTCCGGGACCAAACCGTGATTGAGACCAGGACTGAGACCAGGACCAGACCGGGACTGGGAATGAGACATGAGACCGGGACCAGACTCTGATTGAGACCGAGATCGGGACCGAGACCAGGACTGAAAACTGTTTATTCCTGGTTTAGTCCTGGTTTAGTCCTGGTTTAGTCCGTTTAGTCCAGTTTTTCCATTTTTCATTTAAACACAAAATTGGAAACTGAAAAAAAAACTAATCATTATCTGTTTTTTCATTTTGCTTTTGGAGACAATTAATGAAGAAAATAGTTGTTTTTGGTTTTATTTTGAAAAACAAATGAACGAATGACCCACAGATTCCAGAGACCCTGAAGGACACTGGGTCACTGGGTCAAACGCAGAGGAGCCTCACCGTTTAGTGGTGATCTTTCTCCCGTTGACGATCTTGGTGGAGGTGGAGACGGAGCGGAAGTTTCCCATCCCGGCTCCGCTGCCGCCGAACGAGGTGGAGGAGAAGGAGGTGAAGCCGCCCATGCCCCCCATGCCGCCCATGCCCGCCCCCATCCCCCCCGCCCATGCCCCCGCCCAGGCCGTTCAGACTGTGGAGGTGCCCCATGTGCCCCATGTGCCCCATCGCTCCCATGGAACCGAACGCTCCAAAACCTGAAACACAAAACAGATCATCAGAGCAGGAACAGGAACTTTACTCTGAAAAATCTCCAATATTACACAAAACAAATGGTGGGCGATATATTTTAAAAAATATTGAGGTATTTTTTTAAATCGATATGGATTCTGACATTTCATAAATATCGATATAACGTTTATATTCAATTCTGATTTCGCCACTTTCCTTCTTTGCCTTCTCTCGCCCCCACCTCCCTGATTTTGCTCGCTCGTGTCTCACTTCCTCACTTCCTCCGTGAACGCCCAAAGTTGGTGCCAGTGAAAAACTTCTAGCACCAAGAACCTTTTCCACCATTTACAGACAAAACCATCAGCAGCACAACCTCATAATCCACCAAGTCGTGTTCTTTAGTCCGAAAGAAGCTGAAGGAGCGCGTTGTTTATGCAAATGAGCCATGTGGTTTTAAGTTTTGTTTGTGTAAAACGTAAACACGTGTCAAAACTGCATTAAACACATTATATTGTCAAACGGGCTGATGTGGCTCTGGAGTCGTTATGTTTATATGTTGTAAAGTTTAATAATGTAAAGCAGGGATGTCAAACTCATTTTGGTCCAGGGGCTGTATCCAACCGACTTTGATCCCAAAGGTTCTGGATCAGAAAACTCATGTCATATAAACCCCAAAAATAACAATAAGTTCAAATATTTGCACAGAGAAACACAAATCTATTACAGAAATCTTTTTTAATTGATGAACTCTTTCTTTTACAAAATATTATAATATTATGAACAACCTGAAACTTTAAGAAAAATACAATTTCAACACAATGTTTTAACATTAACTTGTATGTAAATAGGAATAAGTTCATTTTTGTTTGTAAAATCCTGCACTCGGCTCCACTTTTCTCATGTTGGACATTTTTCTGATGAGGGTGTCACGGTCAACAGTCAAAACGATCGTCCTTTAAGAGCGTTTGGAAAGAGACAAGTCTTCATTTGTGCTGCTCTGGTGGGAGGGGCCACGTACAGAGACGCTGGAGACGCTACTGTGATAAACACCACAAATTAACAAGATTTTAATAGAAAATATAATTAAAAAATATTTTTAGTAGAAAATCAGTCGAGGGCCAGATTAAAGGTCTTGCAGGGCCGGATCTGGCCCCCGGGCCGTATGTTTGACACCTGTGATGTAAAGTTTATTTATGCAGAAGATTTTAATGAATACTCTGCTGCAGTGTCACTTGTACAACAGTGTTTGGAAACGTTGGGTTTGATCTGCAGTGGATTGTGGGATTAAACCTCAGAGCTCCTGACGCTGGTGAGGAACATGGATCTGTTCAAATAATGAACCTCCTGAACTTCCTCTGCTGAAGGAGCTCACGGTTCTTTTACGGTTACAGAGTTAATGCAAAAATGAGCTTGAGTTGAGTTGTTTTATTTATGAATGAAAAGAAGGAAATATGTTTTATTTATTTTATTTTACAGTTAAATTATTATTTATGTAATGTGGGAGTTTTATAATCTTAAATGTGGCAGAAGCACTTTGTTTCTACGTGAACAGCCAACCTCTTGCACTTCAATTAAAAAAATACAATGTAGAATTTGTCATATTTGTTTTTGCAGTAATTTTTGGGGGGTTATTTTTCCTGTACACATTTCAAGATATATATCGTATATTGAGATATAACAAATAGGGGTGTGCAAAAATATCAGAATATCGATATATCGTATCGTTTAATGTGATGATATGGTATCGATATCGTGGGCTACTGTATCGATATATCACCAAGAGTATTTTAGATGTGTTTTACTAAATTATTTTGTTACAGCTACAGTTCTGTTGCTTGTGGAGTGAAAGGAAACTCATTTATGCGACACATTTGACATTTTTACTGTTTTGATGATTAAAATGTTTGTGTTTCATATGAACTTTTCACAAGAAGTGGTTTAACAAAGACTTTTAGTATCAGAGCCACGATTTGGCCTTTATTTTTTATTGAACCGTATCAAATCGATTTGAAATATATCATATCGAATCGAAAGTGCACTGTATCGAGATATGTATCATATCGTGGCCTGTGTATCGAGGTATGTATCGTATTGGCAACTCCTTAATGATACCCAGCCCTAATAACAAAATATATCGAGATATATTTTTTGCTCCATATCGCCCAGCCCGACACAAAACTGACTCTTGTGAACTTTTAGTCGTGTTCTAATGCTGTTACCTCCTCAAAAACACAGTATTTTTTGGACTATAAGTCATGGTTTGTGTGTTTCCTGCGATTCTATATTAAAATGTTGAGAGTGAAGTGTGGAGAGGTTCTAGTCTTGTGTGTGAGTATCTGCTGCTCCTGTTCCTCCTGTACCACTGTCACTTGGCTCTACTGCGCATGTCTCCTGCAGAAAGAGCCTCTGTCCTGTCTGTATCATGTCAGTCCATCGCACCATTACTTCTGCACCACTGAACAATTTAACATTTAAACAAACTTATAAAGACAAAGACTGAGAAGACTGAACACAAATGCCCCCAAAAACAAAATCAGATTCTGCAGATTACAAACTGCAAGTCATGAAATCTGCAGCTGAAAACGATAATCGAGCAGCAGAAAGAAAGTTTGGAGTGAGAGAGAAACTTGTGACACCGGGAGGATGCACCATGAAACTTTCCTGAAGTCACTGGATGGATGGACAAAGTCTGGACTTCAGTGACACCGAAACCATCCTGTCGGGATTCAGAAAGACCCGAATAATTCTAACTGGAACTGATGCTGAGTCTGACGACAGCGACACAGAAGAGGAAGCGGCGCTCTGTTTACCTCCGGAGGTCGAGGCCGAGTTGTTCAGAAGTGACACCGAGGATGAAGAATTGAATGGATTTAGTGATTTGGAGTGAGATGGAGAGTTTGTTAAACTTGTTCTGTTCTGTTGTTTATCTTATAGTTTATCTGAAGAAACTGTTCATATGTGACGTTAACAGTCTGTTGTTCTCTGTTCTATTGTTTTTACTACAACTTGACTTTACACAGGAAATGTCTTTGTGATTTCATGTAGTGATAGTTTTCAGGTTGATATTTCCTTTCATCATTTGCCAAGTCAAGATTAGAAATTCCAGGGCTAAAATGATCCAGATGATTTGATTAAAAGGTGTATGGCGGGAGCGGGATGAAATATCGCAGATGCGGGCGGGAGCAAGACTGAAAATTCTGTCCTGTGCAGACCTCTAGTTCATAGTTTACCAAAGTCGTACTAAAACATTCTGACAGATTTTTGAGCGCTGTGTACCACATAAAATCAGTTCGAGAACAGAAACAGAAATTAATAAATAAGTCGCACTGGATTATAAAACACAATATCGATTTTTAAGAATATAATATTAAGTGTGACTTATAGTCCGCAAAACACGGTAACTTTCTGCAAAAGTGTTTGAGCTTTGATTCTGTGTAAAGCAACTTGAGCTAAAAAAAATAAAATTCAATAAAAAATACCATATAAATAAAAGATAACAAAAATAAATTAACAAAAAAAGCCTTCCTTTTGCACTTATGCTCTTGATACAGAGGTGCGTTGAGTGTCAGTATCACCGACCTGGGTCAAACGGAGAGAATCCTCCACCAAAGGGAGGAAACCCGACGAAGCCCCCGAAGAACGAGCCTCCTGTTCGGGGTCGTCCGCTCCGACTGTGGGTCCTGGTGCTGCTGAAGAACGGATCATCTCCGAAAGGGTTCGGACCTGAGAACGAACAGACCAAAATACGTCAAGATCCAGGCGATTTTTCAGTATATGTATCAACCGTAAAGAGAAAAGTAAAAAGTAAAATGCTGTATTGACTAAAGTAAAAATTTTGAGCAGATATTTTCAGACTGTAACGCCATTCTGAACTTTTGAACTTCCGGGCCCGGTCAAGCAGAAGTAAACAACAAGGCCAAAAATTCAAGTTAATTCATCTGATATAAAAATGTATTGAACAGATACATATGTACTCTAGTTTATGAAACTGTTTACCTTTTTTCTGTACCATTTTTGGTTCTAAAGTTTCATACATTTTTAAACAGACCATGTATGAAACATGGAACAAAAATTATTTCCCAAATTTCAAAGACCTGCAAATCATGTAAATAAATGGATGTATTTCATCATATCTTGTGTTATTCCATCTTTGAACTGTTCATGAAGGTACATGATTTTTCAAAAAAAAAAAGTATTTAAAATGATAAAAATTTGCTTGGAAGGACTGACATATTTTATAGAAATAGTTTCCTTTCATTTTGAAGTAATATTAAAGTATTCAGAAGAAAAAAGCGACAAATTATGTAAAATCATGCACCTTTTACTTACTTGAACAATTTTCCCTCCGTTACTTTTCCCTCCGTTACCATGAACTTTCTTAATAAAAAATCTCATGAGTCAAAAAGTAAGAGGTTTTTCAACCTAATCTTGTACCATATGGTAGAAAACTATATGAAGCAAATATTCAAACCAGTTTGTTAAGGATATGTAAGTGAGAACCAAGAGTTATCACTGTTTGGATTTATTGCCCAAAAAGTGCTGCATATTTCATTCCCTCCGTTACCGACATGAGTTTTTAAATTTTTTGTCAACAACTTGAAAGAATATCACAGGTTTAACTTGACCCTGTTGGAGTGTAACTCTTTCCTACATTCTGATACTTTACTTATTTCAATAGTTCCTCTAGTTTCTGAATAAGAGACATTTGAATGTAAAAAATCTGTTTCCCTCCGTTACCGCTTGACCGGACCCTTCTGCTAATTTTATTTCTATTTCCTGTGTACGTTAAACATGACTGCTTGTGGAATAATGTCAGAATAAACCTGTGACCACAATAAATAAACCAATAAATCAATGTTGTGACCGTGACGTTTTTTGCCGCCTCATTTGGACGAGAACAGGACTGACCGAAGAAGTCTGCGAAAGGGTCCGCTCCTCCGAAGAACTCCCTGAACACGTCCTCGGGGTTTCTGAAGGTGAACGGCTCGTGGAAGTGATCTCCGTTATGGAAATGTTCTCCTGGAAAACAAACAGAAATACACTTAGTTTTGTTTATATATTTAGCGATGAACTGTCACAAACGGAGAGGATTCTTCAAACAGATTCTTGGCTGTTAAACTGGTCTCATAAAGGGATTTCACCACAACAAGCAGCAGACTTTTATCTACATGTATTCTGAATATTTATGCAACATTTTTAAACATTTGTGTATCCGGAGTTGGACATTTTTTATTTAAAAGGTCTATATTACACAAAACTGACTGTTGTGAGCTTTAAGTCATGTTCTAATGTTGTTCTAATGTTGTTTCTTTCTCAAAAACAGACCTGGAGTTGTGTTTTGTTTCATGAGTAACCCTTTATTATTAGTTTGTTTACATCTCCAAACCTCAAAATGCTCTGTTCCACCTTGTGATGTCATAATTTGGTAGTTTTCAAGTTAACAGCTCCTTTCTCCTTTAGTTATTGGCACTTTCAGAAATGATCCAAATGATTCAAGAAGGTGAAGGTTTGTGGAGTTTAAAAACACAGTGGGGCACTTCCTTCTAGGGTTGGGCATGATTAGTTGATTCATCGATAATTGATCGTTAAGAATTTCGTCGATTACGTTCATTTTTAATCGACAAACCGAATGTTGGTCGCTGTGCGTGGCGCAGGGTGACCAAACGTCTGTTTTTTCCCCAGACATGTCCGTTTTTCATGTCCTGTCCTGGTCATCTGTTTTTTTTTTTTTGTTTTTTTTTTATTATAAAGAGATTTTCATTACCTTTCATCGGGGACATTAAATTGAGCGTCTCCCGTAGCTCTCTGCACTCAGAACGAGCGAGCAAACACAAACAGTCGGTCAGTCTGCAACATGGCAAAGCGTAAATGCGCATTTAACGATGACTTCTACAAGAAATTCCCCGTTTTCCGTCCCGGTCGAGACAAGTGGGAGAGGGTGCACAGTGTAAAAGCAGTAGGGCTGGGTATCTTTAAGGAGTTGCCGATACGATACATACCTCGATACACAGGCCACGATACGATACATATCTCGATACAGTGCACTTTCGATTCGATATGATATATTTCAAATCGATTCGATACGGTTCAATAAAAAATAAAGGCTAAATTGTGGCTCTGATACTAAAAGTCTTTGTTAAATCACTTCTTGTGAAAAGTTCATATGAAACACAAACATTTTAATCATCAAAACAGTAAAAATGTCAAATGTGTCGCATAAATGAGTTTCCTTTCACTCCACAAGCAACAAAAATGTAGCACTGTAACATAATAATTTAGTAAAACACACCTAAAAATACTCTTGGTGATATATCGATACAGCAGCCCACGATATCAATACCGTATCATCACATTAAACGATACGATATATCGATATTCCGATATTTTTGCACACCCCTAAAACGCAGCACATATGTTTCGGTGTCCAGTGGTGGTGTCAGGGACCTCAAATCTCACCAGGACACCGAATAACATTAAAAAGTTTTGCCAGGTGAGAGTCGTGCAATGTCGATGACGAGTCCCCACCTCCCTCCCCCCGTACGGTGTCCTGGTTTGACAAACACAAATACGGTCACACTAACCTGTATTCACCTGAGTCATGTCCTGTTTTTTTTCTTTGCTTAGTTTATGCAAATTAGCCATGTGATTTTAAGTTTCGTTTCTGTGAGACTTGCACAAATCTGCATTAAACACATTATAATGTCAAACGGGCTGATGTGGCTCTAGAGTCCTTACGTTTATATGTCGTAAGTTGAGTTTATTTATGCAGATTAGTAGTGCAGATAGTAAAAAATAATTAGATAATTTTAATATAAAACGTTAATGATTAATCGATAGTTAATTCTCCCGACGATCGATTAAGAAAATTTTATCGAATGCCCATCCCTACTTCCTTCCTGTATCACCGCATGACATCGCAAGGTGGAGCAAAGTGTTTTCTGTTTGAGAGAAGAACTCCTCCTAAATCTGCAGGGTTTGTGTGTTAAACATGTGTAAATTAAACAAACAAACAAAAAAAAACACAACTCCAGGTCTGTTTGTGACGAGGAAACGATATTAGATCAGAAACCGAATGACAATAGTGAAGAGAATTTCATCCAGTACAATAAATTGCATCAAATGAAGTCACAACAGTACCAACAGATTGTCTAATAAACGTATAAAAATCATCAAATATAAATTAAAAAACATTGAAAGCAGGACAGTACCTCTCCCTCTGCTTCCCGTTAGCCCTTCTTTTCCATAGCGGTCGTATAAGGAGCGCTTGTTGGCTGAAAACAAAGCACGTTTTAGAGATAAGTTTCAGATTTAACGTTTTGTTCAGGCGTCCTTCACCTTCTTCTTTCTACGGAGACGTCATTGCTCTGCCTGGAATGTCCCGCAGTGTGACTTTAAACGGCTCTACTTTACATTTACTCATTTACAGGTGGTTTTAGAGCTCAAAAATATGTGAAAAAAACTCAAAAATATAAAAAAAAAGGCGTTGTGACTGGAAGCGGCGTCGCCTCTCCACAGATCTGACCTCGAACTTGAAGGTAGAAAGGTTTAATGCCGTACTGTGAAACATTCGAGGCCAAAGCAATAACATCGCCACAGGGAAAAGCACTTAAAGGACAGGAAAAGTTACGCAATGCACCTTTAAAATATGGATAGATATGCAAATCAAAACCGATATTTTGCTTTTAAAATCCACAGCGATGCCCACAAATGTGTCTTAAGTTGAGGAAAGTTTAGAAATGACTTCACTTTTGTAAATATAATAGTAAAATGTATTTATCTGGGATATAAAATTATATGTTAGTTATATTTGTGTAAAAATGCAGTTATGGTTCTGACCAGTGTTGGGGAGTAACAGATTACATGTACCGGTGTTAAGTAATCAGAGTACAAATGATGAGTAACTGTATTCAGTTACAGTTACTGTTTCAGTGAGTGGTAATTGGATTACAGTTACTTTGCTAAAATAAATGGATTACACAGCGGGATTTTCCTGTTTTCACATTATTTTCTATTTAATTTTTCTCGGTAATTCCACTCATTGCTGGAAACTAAACCAGGACTAAAACCAGGTCTAAACTAGATCTAAACCAGATCTAAACTAGATCTAAACCAGGTCTAAACTAAACCAGCACTAAAACCAGATCTAAACCAGGACTAAAACCAGATCTAAACCAGGTCTAAAGCCAGGTCTAAACCAGGACTAAACCAGGACTAAAACCAGATCTAAACCAGGTCTAAACCAGGACTAAAACCAGATCTAAACCAGGTCTAAACCAGGACTAAACCAGGATTAAAACCAGGTCTAAACTAGATTTAAACCAGGTCTAAACCAGGACTGAACCAGGACTGAAACAGGATTTAACAGGACTAAACCATGCTGTGCGGACGTGTCTCCTCCTCTTCTATCAATAATATTTTTAAAGTATCCTCATCTTGCTTCTCTACAGCAAATCAAGTAATCCAAAATATTCAGATTACATTACTCACTTTAAGTAATTTAATGGATTACGTTACAAACTACATTTTGGGGTATGTAATCTGTAATCTGTAGGGGAATACATTTTAAAAGTCACCTTCCCAACACTGGTTCTGACACATGGGCACAAGAAAATATATCGGTATTGAATATTGATAATACTTGATAGTGATGTCAACAAAGGGTTTAACAAATCATTATAGGCTGATACTAACATCAGAACCAATCTATGTCCCAGAGTCCAAATACCGTATTTTTTGGACTATAAGTCACACTTTTTTTCATGGTTTGGGTGTTTCCTGCGACTTATACTAAGACTTATAAATTAAAATGTTCAGACTGAAAGCCGCGACACTCACTACTTGCAGCAGGACAGTGGCTTTTTCTGCAGGAGACACGCGCAGAAAACTGATACACAAGACTAGAGCCTCTCGTGGCGGTCAGTCTGAAAATTTTAATATACCGCATTTTCCGGGCGATTAGCCGCGGTCTTAAGCCTCTAACCGCATCAAAAAACGACCGCGCGCCACGCAATCCAGAGCGCCCCATACACGAATCCACTCGGGTGTCCCAGCACGACTTCAGCAAACTATAAACCCGCACCACCCGCAGAACACGCAAACACACACGGAGCAGACAGCGACCGCACAGCGAAACACACCCAGAGACACACTCATCACTCCACGCCGACGAGGAACGGAACAAAGGAACGAACCAAAAAAGCGAGTCCAATGTGTCAATCTGAGTCACAACTGAACAATTGAGTCATTGCGACCGATGCAGCGGTCCCAGACAGCACCCTCCCTACACGCCACAATTGAACAAAGCCCAGAGTCACCGTGAACGCCACAAACAAAGTCCGACTGACCCATCCAACTGTTGTGTTTCCTTTAAAGTCCGGTGCGGTTTATTTGTGAAAAAAGTTAGAAAATAGACCATATAATGACAGTGTGTTTTATAATCCAGAGCGCTGAATTGTGCGTAAAATACGGTACAAGTCGCACGGGAGTGTAAGTCGCAGGAAACACCCAAACCATGAAAAAAATTATTACAAGTTGTGTCAAAATCTCGTCTTGTTCTTGTGGACTAAATCTCGTGGTTTGTCTCGTCTTGTTAAAATCGTGTCTCATCCCACCGCTAATATCAGCTCTTCTGTTAAAGTTATACTGTCGAGAGTAAATACTGACCATCGGAGAGGACCTCGTAGGCCTCAGACAGCTCTTTGAATTTCTTCTCAGCTTCGATTTTGTTGTCTGGGTTTTTATCTGGATGCCACCTCAGCGCCAACTTTCTGTACCTAAAACAGCACATTATGATAATTAAACACTGTAAACACCAGACGGACCTGCCAACTCCTTATGAGTCCCTCTAGATCTCCAACATCAGCTGGGACCAGAGTTCAGACCAAACACGGTCAAGAATTATTTGGATTCTGTGAAAAATGCAGAATTCTTTACCAAAAAATCTGCACCTTGAAATAAGGCCTAATATTTTTAAAATCAAAACACATCATTTTAATACTGCTTCTGAATAATGAATGAAAAGCCATCCATGAATACATACATTTACTGACTTTTAATTGTCATGATCTTTTGCATTAGTTATGTATAAAGTATGTGAACTCATATGGCCAACTATGACAAATAATTTAATTATTGTGATTTAAATTCTGTGTAAAGCACTTTTGAGCTGTCTGCGTGCATGAAAGGTGGTCTACAAATAAAACTGATTGACTAAAAACAGAGTAAACTGGTTTGAGATCCAACAGTCACATAAAACAAAAAATGGGTGAGTTTCCATGACTACTGGTAACTGTTTGAATGACATTTAGATAATCAGTAATCTGATAAATCCAGAAATCAGATCATGAACAGATTTTGTGTGTACCATATTTTCCGCACTTAAAAGCCTTTTATTTTCATCCAAAAACGACTGTGCACCTTATATATGAATTTATTGAGGTGTCTTAGTACGACTTTAGTAAACTACAAAGCCGCTCCACTTGCAGCGTTACGGCTCCCGTCATCAGGAGCATCAGGAGTAAAACATACTGTGATTCCTTTTAATATCAAAATGCACCTGTCAAGAGACACGCTCACAACGCAAACTTTAAACTCAAGGCTGTTCTAAAGTGAAAGTGCGTTTAGCTGCGTGGGAGCAGTGGATGAGAGAAGGAGAACACACATTCACCAAAACAGAGAGACAGCGCCAAGCGACTTACGCCACGATCTGCCGATGAATCGTGGACACCCGGGCGAAGGATCAGTATCAACTGTGGTCCAAGTTTTCACCAAGACCAGAATCATCACTGAACTGCCAGAGAACAATAACGACACTGACTCGGATAATGACGAGAGGGAAGTGGATGAGCTGGACGCCGTAATCGCCCAACTGTTTGAACAATTATGACTTATTGTGAATATTCTAACAATTTAACGTCTCAGACAGGATTTTTTTTGCACAGTACAGTTGAACAAAGTTGAGTTATTGTGAACACGTTAAATAAAGTTTGACTGACTTATCTAACTGTTGTGTTTCGTTTAATGCGCCTTATAGTCTGGTGCGGTTTATAGTGCGGAAAATACGGTAAATGTAAACACAGACGTTGTTACAGTTGGACATACGCTTTCTTGATGTCTTCTGCTGTAGCTTCCCTCTGGACTCCTAAAACCTGGTAATAGTCCACCATGTTTACGCATCAAGGAACCACTCGAACTCCTGCTGCCTGAAGGAAAACAGACAGATACTTCACTGATCGCAAAAAAAACAAAACAACAGACACAGGTGTTACAAAATTTAACTAAACGTGCAGAAAACAAAAAATATAACAAACTCACAGATGTAATCTCTGTATTTTGGGCATAATGATGTACCACTTACATAAGATATAATTTTTTTTTTTTTTTTTATCAGATTTTGTTATTAACTGTTAAATTAGAGTTTAAAAAATGAAGTTAAAACCATACTTTGGCACATTCTCTGTTAGGGGTGTAAGAAAAAATCGATTCAGTGATATATCATGATATTTCATTGCACAATTCTCGAATCGATTCAAAATGCATCTGAATAGATTTTTTAAATAATATTTTTCACAAAAATTCATTAGTTACATTCACTGTTCTCATGATTAAAAAAAAGAATAATACATTATATTTCATACAATTGTGTTCTTTTGAAAGTGTAGTTGACTCTGTTATTAGAAGTAATTATTGATAAATCTCAATATATCATCCATTGATTTAGTATCCGGATGTATGGGGATATACTGAATTGTGACATGTGAGTGATATGTATCGTATTGTCAGACTCAAGGCAATGCACACCCCTATTCTCCATGGTATATTTCACAATACAGCAGAATAAACCTTAATGTAAAGGATTAGAGTCAAAAGGAACAACATTCCCATGGATCAAGCAGGAGCAGCCTTAAAGCAGGACAAATAAGAGTCAGGTCTGTGGAGATGTGAGCCTGTTTACGGTCGGTAAAGTAGTTTTTCAGTGCAATAAACACAACCAAAATAAAACCAGAAATTGTTATTGTTTTTTGGTGAAACGTTTCCGGTACGATATATAAGACGATACAAAGGCCATGATACGATACAGAGCTCTTTTGATATGATATATTTCAAACCGATTTGATACAGTTCCAACAAACCAGGTCTAAACCAGGTCTAAACCAGGACTAAACCAGGTCTAAACCAGGTCTAAACCAGGACTAAACCAGGACTAAACCAGGACTAAACCAGGTCTAAACCAGGACTAAACTAAACAGGACTAAACCAGGTCTAAACCAGGACTAAACCAGGTAAACCAGGTCTAAACCAGGTCTAAACAGGAACTAAACCAGGACTAAACCAGGTCTAAACCAGGACTAAACCAGGTCTAAACCAGGTCTAAACCAGGTCTAAACCAGGACTAAACCAGGACTAAACCAGGACTAAACCAGGACTAAACCAGGTCTAAACCAGGTCTAAACCAGGACTAAAACCAGGTCTAAACCAGGTCTAAACCAGGACTAAACCAGGACTAAACCAGGTCTAAACCAGGTCTAAACCAGGTCTAAACCAGGACTAAAACCAGGAACTAAACCAGGACTAACCAGGACTAAACAGGTCTAAACCAGGTCTAAACCAGGACTAAAACCAGGTCTAAACCAGGTCTAAACCAGGACTAAACCAGGTCTAAACCAGGTCTAAACCAGGACTAAACCAGGACTAAAACCAGGTCTAAACCAGGTCTAAACCAGGACTAAACCAGGTCTAAACAAGAACTAAACCAGGTCTAAACCAGGACTAAACTAGGTCTAAACCAGGACTAAACCAGGACTAAACCAGGTCTAAACCAGGTCTAAACCAGGACTAAACCAGGTCTAAACAAGAACTAAACAGGACTAAACCAGGTCTAAACCAGGTCTAAACCAGGACTAAACCAGGTCTAAACAAGAACTAAACCAGGTCTAAACCAGGACTAAACTAGGTCTAAACCAGGACTAAACCAGGACTAAACCAGGTCTAAACCAGGTCTAAACCAGGTCTAAACAAGAACTAAACAAGAACTAAACAAGAACTAAACAGAACTAAACCAAGTCTAAACCAGGTCTAAACCAGGTCTAAACCAGGACTGAACCAGGTCTAAACCAGGACTAAACCAGGACTAAACCAGGACTGAAACAGGTCTAAACCAGGTCTAAACCAGGTCTAAACCAGGACTGAACCAGGACTGAACCAGGACTAAACCAGGACTAAACCAGGTTTGAACCAGGATTCAACCAGGCCTAAACCAGGTCTGAACCAGGTCTAAACCAGGACTGAACCAGGTCTAAACCAGGACTGAACAAGGACTAAACCAGGACTAAACCAGATCTGAACCAGGACTAAACCAGGTCTGAACCAGGTTTGAACCAGGACTAAACCAGGACTAAACCAGGTCTAAACCAGGTCTAAACCAGGTCTGAACAAGGACTAAACCAGGACTAAACCAGGTTTGAACCAGGATTCAACCAGGCCTAAACCAGGTCTGAACCAGGTCTAACAGGACTGAACCAGGTTAAACCAGGACTAAACCAGGACTAAACCAGGATAAACCAGGAGTGAAACAGGTAAACCAGGTCTAAACCAGGACTGAACAGGACTGAATCAGGACTAAACCAGGTCTAAACCAGGTCTAAACAATAAACAGGTCTAAACCAGGACTAAACAGGTCTAAACCAGGACTAAACCAGGACTAAACCAGGTCTAAACCAGGTCTAAACCAGGTCTAAACAGAAACAAGAACTAAACAAGAACTAAACAAGAACTAAACCAGTCTAAACCAGGTCTAAACCAGGTCTAAACCAGGACTGAACCAGGACTAAACCAGGACTAAACCAGGACTAAACAGGACTAAACCAGGACTAAACAGGACTAAACCAGGACTAAACAGAAACAGGTCTAAACCAGGACTGAACCAGGACTGAAACCAGGACTGAACCAGGACTAAACCAGGAACCAGGATCAACTAACAGGGCCTAAACCAGGTCTAACCAGGTCTAAACCAGGACTACCAGGTCTAAACCAGGACTGAACAAGGACTAAACCAAGACTAAAACCAGATCTGAACCAGGACTAAACCAGGTCTGAACCAGGTCTAACCAGGTAACCAGGACTAAACCAGGTCTAAACCAGGTCTAAACCAGGTCTAAACCAGGTCTGAACAAGGACTAAACCAGGACTAAACCAGGTTTGAACCAGGATTCAACCAGGCCTAAACCAGGTCTGAACCAGGTCTAAACCAGGACTGAACCAGGTCTAAACCAGGACTAAACCAGGACTGAAACAGGACTAAACCAGGACTGAACCAGGTCTAAACCAGGTCTAAACCAGGTCTAAACCAGGACTGAAACAGGACTAAACCAGGACTGAACCAGGTCTAAACCATGTCTAAACCAGGACTGAACCAGGTCTGAACCAGGACTAAACCAGGTCTAAACCAGGACTAAACCAGGGACTAAAAGAGGACTAAGCCAGGACTAAACCAGGTCTAAACCAGGACTAAACCAGGTCTGAACCAGGACTAAACCAGGTCTGAACCAGGTTTGAACAAGGACTAAACCAGGACTAAACCAGGTTTGAACCAGGACTAAACCAGGATTCAACCAGGTCTAAACCAGGACTGAACCAGGTCTAAACCAGGACTAAACCAGGACTAAACCAGGACTAAACCAGGTCTAAACTAGGTCTAAACCAGGTCTAAACCAGGTCTAAACCAGGACTGAACCAGGTCTAAACCAGGACAAACAGGTCTAAACCAGGTCTAAACCAGGACTAAACCAGGAGAACCAGGACTAAACCAGGTCTAAACCAGGTCTAAACAAGAACTAAACCAGGTCTAAACCAGGACTAAACTAGGTCTAAACCAGGACTAAACCAGGTCTAAACCAGGTATAAATCAGGACTAAACCAGGACTAAATAAGTACTAAACCAGGTCTAAACCAGGACTAAACCAGGACTAAACCAGGACTAAACCAGGTCTAAACCAGGATTAAACCAGGTCTAAACCAGGTCTAAACCATGTCTAAACCATGTCTAAACCATGTCTAAACCAGGTCTAAACCAGGTCTAAACCAAGTCTAAACCAAGTCTAAACCAGGTCTGAACCAGGACTAAACCAGGACTAAACTAGGACTAAATCAGGTCTAAACCAGGACTAAACCAAGTCTAAACCAGGACTAAACTAGGTCTAAACCAGGTCTAAACCAATAAAACGTGGTTCAGAAAGACAAAGCAAATGAGATTTTAATTTACAATGAAATTTTATAGTGTTTTTAAAAAATATCGTATTTTTATGCGTTTTTGCTAATACAACGTGATTAAAGCCGGTGTTAAAAATAATGCCATGTCAGTAGGTCATGTAAACAGACGCTAACGCCGCTGAGGCTAAGCTAACACAAAAACAATCTACGCAGACAAAAGAAAAACCGCGGAAATAACGCTCATTTGCGCTAAAATCCGTCCGTAAATGTAAACCGTAACTAACGCATTAAAGCAACGTGAAATCAGCGGTTTATTTCCCGTGCAAACCTCCGGAGCGTCTTTGTGTACGTCTGCACAAACCGTAGGCCCCGATATTAGCCTTAGCATTAGCATTAGCACCTCCGCGGCTCACCGTGCCTCTGCGCCGCTCCTGTCCGGGACTCGGGGGTGTCTCTCGGGGCAGACCGCAGCCCAAGCACTCGGGGTCCCGCTGGGGGTCGTGCGGGGGGGGAAAGGGGACAGTAGTTCAGCTCAGATCCCTCCGTTCATCCCATCGGCGCTGCTCCGTGTACGTGGACGTGGCGACGCTGCAGAGGACCGGCTGCACTTCCTCCCCGAGCGGCTGCGTCACGGAGGAGCAGCCGGAGAGCGACACCTGCAGGTTCAGACGCGGCACTGCAGTTTACTCGTACCGGGACTAAACCAGGACTAAACCAGGACTGAACCAGGACTGAACCAGGACTAAACCAGGTCTAAACCAGGGACTAAAAGAGGACTAAGCCAGGACTAAACCAGGTCTAAACCAGGACTAAACCAGGTCTGAACCAGGACTAAACCAGGTCTGAACCAGGTTTGAACAAGGACTAAACCAGGACTGAACCAGGTTTGAACCAGGACTAAACCAGGACTAAACCAGGTCTAAACCAGGTCTGAACAAGGACTAAACCAGGACTAAACCAGGTTTGAACCAGGATTCAACCAGGCCTAAACCAGGTCTGAACCAGGTCTAAACCAGGTCTAAACCAGGACTGAACCAGGTCTAAACCAGGACTAAACCAGGACTGAAACAGGACTAAACCAGGACTGAACCAGGTCTAAACCAGGTCTAAACCAGGTCTAAACCAGGTCTAAACCAGGTCTAAACCAGGTCTAAACCAGGACTAAACCAGGACTAAACCAGGACTGAAACAGGACTAAACCAGGACTGAACCAGGTTTAAACCAGGTCTAAACCAGGTCTAAACCAGGACTGAACCAGGTCTAAACCAGGACTAAACAAGGACAAAACCAGGGCTAAACCAGGTTTGAACCAGGACTAAACCAGGACTAAACCAGGTCAAAACCAGGACTAAACCAGGACTGAACCAGGACTGAACCAGGTCTGAACCAGGACTAAACCAGGTCTAAACCAGGACTAAACCAGGGACTAAAAGAGGACTAAGCCAGGACTAAACCAGGTCTGAACCAGGACTAAACCAGGTCTGAACCAGGTTTGAACAAGGACTAAACCAGGACTAAACCAGATTTGAACCAGGACTAAACCAGGACTAAACCAGGTCTAAACCAGGTCTAAACCAGGTCTGAACAAGGACTAAACCAGGACTAAACCAGGTTTGAACCAGGATTCAACCAGGCCTAAACCAGGTCTGAACCAGGTCTAAACCAGGTCTAAACCAGGTCTAAACCAGAACTGAACAGGACTAAACCAGGACTGAAACCAGGTCTAAGGTCTAAACCAGGTCTAAACCAGGTCTAAACCAGGTCTAAACCAGGACTGAACCAGGTCTAAACCAGGACTGAAACAGGACTAAACCAGGACTGAAACAGGACTAAACCAGGACTGAACCAGGTCTAAGCCATGTCTAAACCAGGTCTAAACCAGGACTGAACCAGGTCTAAACCAGGACTAAACAAGGACAAAACCAGGGCTAAACCAGGTTTGAACCAGGTCAAAACCAGGTCAAAACCAGGTCTGAACCAGGATTCAACCAGGCCTAAACCAGGTCTGAACCAGGTCTAAACCAGGTCTAAACCAGGCCTAAACCAGGCCTAAACCAGGACTGAACCAGGACTGAACCAGGGCTAAACCAGGGACTAAAAGAGGACTAAGCCAGGACTAAACCAGGACTGAACCAGGTCTAAACCAGGTCTAAACCAGGACTGAACCAGGTCTAAACCAGGACTAAACCAAGACTAAACCAGGACTAAACCAGGACTAAACCAGGACTGAACCAGGGCTAAACCAGGTTTGAACCAGGACTAAACCAGGACTAAACCAGGTCAAAACCAGGTCTAAACCAGGTCTGAACCAGGTTTGATTCAACCAGGTCTAAACCAGGTCTAAACCAGGACTAAACCAGGTCTAAACCAGGCCTAAACCAGGTCTAAACCAGGTCTAAACCAGGACTGAACCAGGACTGAACCAGGTCTAAACCAGGACTAAACCAGGTCTAAACCAGGACTAAACCAGGATTGAACCAGGTCTAAACCAGGTCTGAACCAGGACTAAACCAGGACTAAACCAAGTCTAAACCAGTACTAAACCAGGACTAAACCCGGTCTAAACCAGGTCTAAACCAGGACTAAACCAAGTCTAAACCAGTACTAAACTAGGACTAAACCAGTACTAAACCAGGTCTAAACCAGTACTAAACTAGACTAAACCAGTACTAAACTAGGACTAAACCAGTACTAAACCAGGTCTAAACCAGGACTGAACCAGGACTGAACCAGGTCTAAACCAGGACTGAACCAGGTCTAAACCAGGACTAAACAATAAAATTGTGAAATAAGTGCATAATTATCGAAAACTGTTACACACTTGGCTCTAATGTGAGACAGTTTAGTCACATTTTTTGTGTGTTTTGGTCGTTTTTAAGCAGATTTTCTGTATTTTACCGATACAAATTACAAGTTATGCCTCTCTTTACTGATGACAGGGATTAAATTGGTCAAAAATAGCATATGTTTTGTTCAGTGTGTCACTAATGCGTCGTTAAGTTTTCGTCTTTCTTCCCTTGATAGTTGTGGATAAATTCTTCATGTTAGAATCTTGTTGGTTGAAGATTTGGTGATGGGGCAGATTTATGAAGCTGGTGGAAAATATGCCAGACATTTACACACACATTTTGCCACAGAAAAACATTAACCGGGAGCGACGTTTACCCGACATCACTGAAAAACATCTATTGGTGCTGAATGAAAATCAAATGGAGGATCGATGAATGGATGAATCAAAGAATAAGAAGCACAATCTCTCCACAATCCACTTTTTTAAATTAGAGTTTTAAATTTATTGATTCGGTGGCACACACATAATCACTACGTCATTATTATCACAAAGGCGCGTGTGTTTTCAGTCTTTTCTCTTCTCTCTCCGAAGGTGCAAAGGTGAACGGTTATTTGAGCAGCTTAGCGGTCGCCATGGAGGTCATGGTCGTCATGGTCGTCATGGCGATGTTGGGCACGGGGATGTCTCTGAAGATGGGCTGAGCGAAACCGGAGGGGGGCGCTCTGTTTTCGCTCAGAGTGCCGATGATCATCTGACGCATCTCCCTGCTGGCGTCGCCTCGGACGGCCAACAGAGCCTGGACGTGCTCCTCCCTGAGAAAACAAACACAGAGGGTGATTTAGTTTACGAGGGGGATTTGACTCCTATGGGGCAATAACGAGGGGTATTTCACTCCTATGAGGAAATAACGAGGGGTATTTGACTCCTACGGGGCATTAAAGAGGGGTATTTGACTCCTACGGGGCATTAAAGAGGGGTATTTGACTCCTATGGGGCAATAAGCGAGGGGTATTTGACTCCTAAGGGGCAATAAAGAGGGGTATTTGACTCCTAAGGGGCAATAAAGAGGGGTATTTGATTCCTATGGGGCATTAAAGTGGGGTATTTAACTCCTATGGGGCAATAAAGAGGGGATATTTGACTTCTTTGGGGCATTAAAGAGGGGTACTTGACTTCTTTGGGGCATTAAAGAGGGGTACTTGACTCCTATGGGGCAATAAGCGAGGGGTATTTGACTCCTAAGGCGCAATAAAGAGGGGTATTTGACTCCTATGGGGCATTAAAGAGGGGATATTTGACTTCTTTGGGGCATTAAAGAGGGGTATTTGACTCCTATGGGGCAATAAGCGAGGGGTATTTGACTCCTAAGGCGCAATAAAGAGGGGTATTTGACTCCTATGGAGCAATAAAGAGGGGTATTTGACTCCTATGGGGCAATAAAGAGGGGTATTTCACTCCTGTGGTGCTTTAAAGAGGGGTATTTGATTCCTATGGGGCATTAAAGTGGGGTATTTAACTCCTATGGGGCAATAAACAGGGGTATTTCACTCCTACGGGGCAATAAAGAGGGGTATTTGACTCCTATGGAGCAATAAAGAGGGGATATTTGACTTCTTTGGGGCATTAAAGAGGGGTACTTGACTCCTATAGGGCATTAAAGAGGAGTATTTCACTCCTATGATACATTTAAAAGAGGTATTTGACTAAAAGAGGGGGTATCTGTGAAAAAATCTGTGAAAACATATCCTAGAATCTTATTGGTCAGCCTTGTATGGGTTGTAGCGGCTCACACCTATCACAGCCTCTGTTTACATGTGAAAAAACAAAACCGTTTCTAATGGTCGTCAAATCACGTCTTTAGTGAAACAGCGGAGGAGTCGAAACACGTCATTAAGGAAACAAGGGAGGTCGTCAAATGTCGTCTTCATGGGGGAAAGAGTTAATAAATCCCACAGAGCGCCTCGTTTTTGTCCTACACCAAACATATGCACAGATTTCCCTGTGAGGGCCTTTGTGTCTGAGCAGCCCGAGCGCTGCCTGACACCCCGACGCCCCCGTCCCTCTGAGTACCTGATGTCGGGGTACTTGGACACGAGCGTGGACACCTCCAGGTAGAGCAGAGTGGGGTCTGTGAGCTTGAACACTTCAGCGATGGCGGCGATCGCTCCGCACAGACGGTCCGTGTCTTCTCCCTGAACAAAACACAATGACACAGCAGTTTAAAGTGAGTACTGTATGAGCAGAAAAGTCCCACAGTGCGTCTTTAAAGAGTCGGTGTTTTACTTCTACAAACAGAAAACATTTAGATCTCCATGTTTCCTTTTATTATTTTGAAATTGCTCCATTTGCTGAAAACAAAGTATGAACATGTTTTATAAGTTTGTTTCATTTTTGAGTCTCCCCTCACTTTGTTCTCTGCGCTAATCACTCCCCCTTCAGAGCGCTATCACAAGACAATCAGCGTGCGTCCCGCTAATGAAACGACTGCACATCACATCAGGTTTGTGGAGTTGTAGTGTATTGTTTTGTATCCTGTTTTTGTGTATTTATGTAGAATTATCGTGTGGGAGCGTGGGTGACGTAGGCTTGTGGGCGGAGCCTTGTACAGAATCTCACAGCTAACCGTAAAGAGGGGTTGAATACAGCCCAGGAGAGATCGCTAGATTACTCAAAGGCTACGTCCAGACTGAAGGGATAATGCTCAATTCTGGATTTGTTTTTTGTTTTTTTGTGTGAAATCCGCTCCACCAAACATTCTCTTTGTTCCGGCTTTAAATCCTCGATCTCGGGAATCGTTGCCAACACAGAATGTCTGTCTCTTCGCTGATTGGCTGTTGCCCGAATTCACAGATCTGGGGTTTTTTGCGAACCGTTTACTGTATTCTGATTCCTGACCTAGTCACTGGAGAGAAATGAAATTGAGTGGAGGCACTGGGTGGCGCCAGACTGGCTAAAGCAGAGGTTGAAAAAGTACTGAAAAATTTTAATTAAATAAAAGTATCGCTACTTTGCGTAATTCCTCCTCAACTAAAACTTAAAGTAACCATCTAAAAAACAACTTCATTTAAACGTAATGTGAGTGTGTGAGTTTTAATCGACTTTTAGGTGATACAGATGAACTTTGTACATTTTAAAGACAACTAAGCTCACAAACACTTACAATTTTAACACTTGTATTATGTTATTCCCTATTTCATGTTTGAACGCAAGTATCTGTCCGAGGTTTTGCCGAGAGTTTCCTTCGCTTTCCTCTTGAGAATTATTCACTGCACCTTCTTCTTGAATATCTTCCACGTCGACCTCGATCTGTGGCTCGGCTCCAGCATCATCCAAACTGATCCGAGCCACACTGACACTTCTGTACAGTGACTGAACGTTCTGTAGTTTCATTTCCAGCAGATTGTGTTTTTTTTCTCCCTATATTAGTCTGATTTTACTCAGTAGGTAACTAGGGCGGGTTCCAGTGTAATTAAGTAAAATATCTGGGTCAAATTGTGCTTGAGTAAAAGTAAAAAAAACTACTTAAACAATTACAGATTACTCGTAAAAACTACTCAATTACAGTAACGTGAGCTCAAAAAAACAACGCTGAAAGAGTAAAAGTGTGACTGACCGCAGAGAGTTTCCTGAAGAGAAACTTGAACTGCTCCGCCTCCTTGATCATGCGCTCGGCTCCGTCCCTCCGCTCGTCGGCGTTTTTAAAAGTGACGCGTTTCTGCATCACGGCTTTGAGATACTCCACCACCACCCGCCTCAGCGCCTCTCCGGTCATCTCCTGAGGATTTAAACACGTGTGAGCCGTTAATGACCCCAAAAAAGTGCTTTAACGTTAACGGTTTAAAGCAGAGTTTTTCTGTTAAATGGACTTTTCGGAGGTTCAGTGGTTAGGACGAGGACTGCAGGTGCTTGTCTTTGTCCGGTCCAGTTTGTCTTGTTCTTTTTTGTCCTATTTCTGTGTGTCTTGTCTGTTCTGTCTGTGTCTTGTCTGTTCTGTCTGTGTCTTGTCTGTTCTGTCTGTGTCTTGTCTGTCTGTTCTGTCTGTGTCTGTCTGTGTCTTGTCTGTCCTGTCTGTGTCTTGTCTGTTCTGTCTGTGTCTTGTCTGTGTTCTGTCTGTGTCTTGTCTGTCTGTCTGTGTCTTGTCTGTGTCTCTGTCTGTGTCCTGTCTGTGTCCTGTCTGTGTCCTGTCTGTCTCTGTCTGTGTCTTGTCTGTTCTGTCTGTGTCTTGTCTGTGTCCTGTCTGTGTCCTGTCTGTGTCTGTCTGTCTGTTCTGTCTGTGTCTTGTCTGTCCTGTCTGTGTCTTGTCTGTCCTGTCTGTGTCTGTCTGTGTCTGTGTCTGTCTGTCTGTCTGTCTGTCTGTGTCTGTGTCTGTCTGTGTCTTGTCTGTCTGTCTGTCTGTCTGTCTGTCTGTGTCTTGTCTGTCCTGTCTGTGTCTTGTCTGTCCTGTCTGTGTCTTGTCTGTCTGTCTGTCTGTCTGTCTGTCTGTCTGTCTGTCTGTCTGTCTGTGTCTGTCTGTCTGTCTGTGTCTGTGTCTGTCTGTCTGTCTGTGTCTGTCTGTCTGTCTGTGTCTGTGTCTGTTCTGTCTGTGTCTGTCTGTCTGTGTCTGTTCTGTCTGTGTCTGTGTCTTGTCTGTTCTGTCTGTTTGTCTGAAAGTTGGTCCTGTTTACCTCTTTTTTGTTTTGTTGTTATAATTATTTATATATATATATATATATATATATATATATATATATTATATATATATATATATATATATATATATATATATATATATATACACACACACACACACATATAATTATTGTTCATTTTTTAAAATATTTTGTTGTTGTTTATTATTTAATTTGTTGTGTTGAGTCTGGTTGATTCAGAATGCTATATCTACAAATAACTACAAATATAAAAAAAGAGCAACACTGGCACTAAACTGTACGTGTTCTTTCATAAGAGCCGCTCCCGTCTCTGACCTGGTTAAAGGGGTTTTTGATCCTGTTGAAGTCGTTGAAATAGTCCTCCACCGTCACGCAGATGGTGTCCACGGCGTGAGAGCCGCTCAGCCACTTCCTGGTCAGCAGCTCGTTCAGGTGATTCTGAGACAAACACAAACCATAACGACGGATCACAACAAACTTTAATACAGAGCTGATGAATAAAAACACAGGGTTATCTCATACGTGATTTTTAAAGCATAAGTCACTGTCGCTAATCTGCAGCTTCACCTCGATCCATGCGCTGTGTCGATGTAAACAGACAAACGTGAGGAACTACTCCCACCTTTTTACTTTAAAAGAACACCTCAAACTGGATTAACAGCACTGTTTTGTGGACTGGAGGTCATTATTTGTGGAGGACAATTTCTATGGATAATGTGGATGAGATGCTGCACTTTAAATTCACAACTTTACGACAGGTGAGTACGGTATTTTTCGGACTATAAGGTGCACTTGAAATCCTTCAATGTGCGCCTTATGTATTAATTCTGGTTGTGATTTCTGACCTCGAAGCGATTTTCTGTGGTACACATCGCTCAAAAATCTGTCACAATGTTTTAGTACGACTTTGGTAAACTACGAAGTCGCACCGGTTGATGGATTGTTGGAGCGTTATGGCTGCTGTAGTCAGGAGCCTCGCGGAGTAAAGCCCAAGTTACAGTCGTTAGTCCGACAGAAGCTGAACCACATCAGCGCACAAGGAGGTGTTTTTTTCAGCGCTTATAGTTTATGCAAATGAGCCATGTGGTTTTCAAGTTTCATTTCTGTAAAACGTAAACAAATGTGCGCAAAGCTTGAATTAAACACTTTATTACTCAGTGAATATTTGAGTCGTCCTCGTAGGAAATAAAAACATATGCTTAAATGATCCACCCACATTCACCAAGACAGGGAGGCGACGCCGGGCGGATTACGCCACGATCTGCCGATGAATCGTGGATGCCTGAGCTAAGGATCAGTCTCAAGTGTCGTCTGTTTGTTTCTCTTAACACGCCTGATAATCCGGCGCTCTTTATAGTCTGAAAAATACGGTAATAAAGTCTTCCCTGAACTCAAGGAGAAGCAAATCGCAAATCAAATCAATGGTGTGGCGGCCTTTATCTCCATGGAGACAAGCAGGTGGCGAAACCTCTATGAGAAAAGTTGCGCAGTGCACCTTTTAATGTTATGGCAGACAGCTGCCATAGTAATTAACAATTTTATACTAAATATATGTCGTTTGAATAGTCATGTTTTTGAGTAGGTTTGCTGTGGCATCTCATTTTTTATACAAAGTTTAAATTCAGTCTTTCTGTGGCTGACCTCCAGATCCAGGAAGACCTCGTCGAGCAGATACTGGCAGCCCTCTTTGGCCACTTCGTTCAGGGTTCTCTCGATGGCGGCGTCGCTCTCCGTGTGCTCCGGGTTCGCACTGTACTTCCTCTTCAGGCTGTTTATCGACTCTCTGAAGGAAACAAGAAAACACATCAAAAGCGTCAAAATATTTTCAGTAGCAGTCCGTAAATTACTCTATTTTACCGACACAGACGCAGAGATTAAAAGAGGAAAGAACCTGGAATGAAAAGAAAGAGATAGAAAAGGCGCAATTACAACAACAAACATTGAGATGCAGATTCGCACAGGGTTAGTATATCACCGGACGTCTGTGTTTGGCGAAAAATTAGTACTGTATTTTTTGGACTATTTCATGGTTTGGGTGTTTCCTGCAACTTATAGTGAAGCGGTGAGAGGTTCTAGTCTTGTGTGTGAGTATCTGCTGCTCCTGTTCCTCCTGTACCACTGTCACTTGGCTCTACTGCACATGTCTCCTGCAGAAAGAGCCTCTGTCCTGTCTGTATCATGTCAGTCCATCGCACCATTACTTCTGCACCACTGAACAATTTAACATTTAAACAAACTTATAAAGAAAAAGACTGAGAAGATTGAACACAAATGCCCCCAAAAACAAAATCAGATTCTGCAGATTACAAACTGCAAGTCATGAAATCTGCAGCTGAAAACGATAATCGAGCAGCAGAAAGTTTGGAGTGAGAGAGAAACTTGTGACACCGGGAGGATGCACCATGAAACTTTCCTGAAGTCACTGGATGGATGGACAAAGTCTGGACTTCAGTGAAACCGAAACCATCCTGTCGGGATTCAGAAAGGCCGGAATAATTCTAACTGGAACTGATGCTGAGTCTGACGACAGCGACACAGAAGAGGAAGCGGCGCGTCACGTTTACCTCCGGAGGTCGAGGCCGAGTTGTTCAGAAGTGACACCGAGGATGAAGAATTGAATTGATTTAGTGATTTGGAGTGAGATGGAGAGTTTGTTAAACTTGTTCTGTTGTTTATGTTATAGTTTATCTGAAGAACTGTTCATATGTGACGTTAACAGTCTGTTGTTCTCTCTTCTATTGTTTTTACTACAACTTGACTTTACACAGGAAATATCTGCTCTTGCGCTCTGATTTTATAAAATACATTTGCCCCAAAAAGTGCCACTTATATATGTTTTATTTTCTTCTTCATTACACATTTTTTTGGCTGGTGCGACTTATACTCCGAAAAATACAGTAGGTAATTTGCAGCGGAATTTTTTTTGGAGCATTCGCACAGGATTAAGATCTCAGGAGTCCTCCGCAATTATTACACATCAACAACGGTCCACAGGTAAAACAAATCCCATGTGAATAAGGCTTAAAATTCAGATTTCACGGAACAGACGGACGCACCTGAAGGTCTGACAGTTGTTGATGATGGCGATCATGTACTGGACATAACACTGAGGCAGCTGTCTGTCTCTGAGGTGCTCCTCTTTGTACAGCACCACCTCCTCTCGGTACCTGAGGAAACACACACCGTCACACACAGGGAGGGCATCTGACACACACAGAGAGGGCATCTGACACACAGGGAGGGCATCTGACACGCACAGGGATACAGGAGGGCGGGAGGACATCTGGCTCACCTTAGTAGGAAACTGTTCATTTGTTTGAGGCAGAGCTTGAGGACCTGTTCTCTGAAGTCTCCGTCGATTTGAGCGGCGACCTGCAGATTCTGTTCAAACATCTGCAACAAAAACACACAAATACACGAGGAAATGAGTTTAAAACAGCAGAGAATTAAAATAAAAACCACAAAAAAAAGTACATTTTTGAGGTCGCTGAAAGAAGAAGAGAAAGGAAAAAGGAGCGAAGCCAAACTGAGGTGATTCTTGGAGATTCCTTCCAGCGATGGTGCGACTGAAGCAGACGAAGGGTCTAAAGACTGATACATGGTTCACAAGATGGAGGGAGGATGGAGCAGGAGATTGACAGGTGGACAGGTGCAGCGTCGACAGTGATGCGGTCGCTGTATCGGACCGTTGTGGTGAAGAGGAGCTGAGCTGAAAGGCGAAGCTCTCGATTTACCGTCAGTCTTCGTTCCTACTCTCACCTCTGGTCATGAGCTCTGGGTAATGACCGAAAGGACGAGATCGCAGATACAAGCGCTCGAAATGAGTTTGGTCCGCAGGGTGTCTGGGCGCTCCCTCAGTCACACGGGAGGAGCTCGGAGTAGAGCCGCTGCTCCTACATGTTAAGAGGAGCAGCTGAGGGGAGGACATCTGTTGTGATGCCTCCTGGGCGTCTTCCTCAGGAGGTGTTCATGTCCCACCAGGAGGAGGTCCCGTGGAAGACCCAGGACACGCTGGAGGGACTATGTCTCTGGACTGGCCTGGGAACACCTCGGGATCCCCCCGGAAGAGCTGGAGGACGTGTCTGGGGTGAAGGAAGTCTGGGAGTCCCAGACAAATGGATGGATGTGTTCATAAGACAGTAGACCTTTTTAACAACCTCAAGTCCTTTCAACCTTTCAATCACCTGAAGTCGCACCCTGTAGGTTTGCGGGACTTCCAGTTAATGCTTTTCCACGGCAAAATGTGTGTGTAAATGTTTGGTGAATTTTCCAGCAGTTTCATAAATCTGCCCCATCACCAAATCTTCAACCAACAAGGTCCACAAAGGATAAACATTCTAACATGAAGAATTTATCCACAATTATCAAGAGAAGAAAAATAGACAGAGAGATTTATTCAAATGCTACATCTCTGATTTAAACTGCATAAATCTGTCTATCTATGCTAATATCTACATTATGAAATTGATTTTTAATTTTAATTGTAGACTCAGTCTGAGTGAACAAGTTCCTTCTGTTTTATTCATGATCATAACGTTAGTTTTGCTCATGATGATAGTCGTCGTTCTCCTTTGTGGATAAATTGTTCATGTTAGAATGTTTATCCTTTGAAGACCTTGTTGGTTGAAGATCTGTTGATGGGGTTGGGGGACTTCTGGCCCTTGTAACAAAAGGACTATTATACAAATCTGAAGGCAGAAAGAGTTTTGTGTTTGTTGAGATAAAGAGAAAAGCTTTAAGATCTAATGCCAAACCTGGAAGACTATAGCGGGCAGTGTGGTCTGGTAGTACCCGTCCTGGTCTCCCTCTGGCTCAGTTTCTTTCTGCCAGTCCTTTTTATCCGTCTCCAGAGCCTTCCTGAGCCAGCCGGTGATATTAGACTGGAAACAAAACAGGGAAAATATTAAGAACGCACGGTTTTAATGAGGAAAAACAGCAGCAGGAATGAATCAAATGGTGTTCAAACCTCATTCATTTGTCAGTTCTAACGTTTAAAAACCGGCTTAAAGTTGCGCTGTGTAACTTTTCTGCTGGAACGTCTGTCAAAAAATGGCATTAAACCTTTCTATCTTCATGGAGCCCAAACAGGACCAAGTTACAGGTCAGATCTGTGGAGAGGCGACCCCGCTCACAGTCAGAATGTCTGATTTCTAGGTATTTTTGAGCTTTAAAACCACCTGTAATCGAATAAATGTAAAGTAGAGCTGTTTAATTCCAGGCAGAGCAATGACATCTCCATAGAAACCAGCAGGTGACGGACCCCCAACCAAAAAGTTACACAGTGCAGCTTTAAGTCTTCCTTTATTATTTAAACGTAGAAAATGCTAAATGTCTAAATCTCCTGTCTTTAAAATCCACTGGACGATGGTTTGTGTAATTTTCCTTTTTTTTTTTTTTAACAAACTACAAAAAACTGGCAATTTTGAGCAATACATTGGCCAATTTTACATGATGTTTATTAAATTTCGAATTAAATAGCTCTGAATTAAAATATTCTCCTTCGAGTTTACATGGAAATAATAATTCCGAAATGAGGTTTACATGGAAAACACGTTAAATCATCTTTATTTAATTCCTTTCAGAGTCTGGGGGTGGGGAAGTGTTCTGATTGGACAGAAAGGCGAACGTATTTACGTCGACCGGAAGAAAACACGCACTTCAGCTGCTACCGGCTTTTCTGTCATCCCGGTTTGTTGTTACGCCACGGACACAAACACGATCCGAACTTTTCCCGCAGTGGTTTCGATGATAACTGCAAAGCAGCAACTGGAGAATTGTCTCATCACGCTTTACGTCTGTCGGCTGAGGAGAAGAAGGGAAGAGTGTCGGAGAAGGAGGAAGAAGAAAAACCGAGTCTGAGGCTGCTCTACCTCGGCCCACTCCCGCATCCCGCTCACAAATCCAAAGAGACGTGGAGGAAAGTCCGAAGGAAGCCGGAAGGAAGGGGGACCCAACGAACATGCGCTGAACGACCGGAAATATTTTTAAGAAGAATCAACGTTTTACATGATCCAGGAATAAACTCATTAGGCTTTAAAATCTGAATAAACCATCCACTTACTAATAATCGTGTTTACCTGATCTTTTTAAAGCAGAATTCGTTTTTATTCAGTATTAAATGATTTTTATTTGGAATTAAAGCTCTCATGTAAACGTGGCGAGTGACACAAGAGCTTCTGACACGCAGGAGGAGGGCATCTGACACAGTTTACTCACAGTGAAGGTCTGGATGTATTTGCTGAGCAGTTCGTGCACCACGTCCTGCGGCAGAAGAGGCTCCAGAGAGTTCACGTCACACTCCGCGCTCAGCTCAGGGTGCCCCATCATCTCGGAACTGAAAACATACAAACGTTCAATTTTCAATATAAAAAGAAGACTAAATCTATGAAAGAGAATTTGTTCAATAAGATTCTGAATTTTTAAACTTTGAAAGGCAGTTGGTGAAATTGTAAGTGTACATTTTCAATATTCAGCACAAACATTTCCAAGCCCTCAAATTCAGTAGTCAAAATTCAGAGTGTAAAATTCATAGTGAAAAAAAATTTGCAGCTAAGATCCTCTGATAAGAAGCCAAAACCTGTATAAATTAGGTGACCGGACATATCACAGCAACATCATGAGACTCTGAGGATGAGCGCAGGGAGCAGAACAAACTCTTGGTCTGAAAAAAGAACCTAATAACATAAAAGATCGAAGATGCCAAAGCAGAAGCAATCGATCCAAAGTGATCGGAGCAGCAGAGGTCTGCGCGGGACAGAATTTTCGGTCCCGCTCCCACCTGCATCTGTGATATTTTGTCTCGTTCCCACCCGCAAATCCCGCAAGATGGGAACGTTCGCTTTCTTAAGATCTATCAAACACGGAGAAGCAGAAAGGAATTGGGCTGCGTATGGGAGGAGGCGCGGTGGGCGGTCAGGCGGCATGGTTAAGTCCTGGCTAAATTCTGTTTTAGTCCTGGTTTTAGACTTGTTTTAGTCCTGGTTTTGTCCTGGTTTTAGACTCGTTTTTAGACCTGTTTTAGTCCTGGTTTAGTACTGGTTTAGTCCTGGTTTTAGACTTGTTTTTAGACCTGGTTTAGTCCTGGTTTTAGACTTGTTTTTAGACCTGTTTTAGTCCTGGTTTAGTCCTGGTTTTAGACTTGTTTTTAGACCTGTTTTAGTCCTGGTTTTAGACTTGTTTTTAGACCTGTTTTAGTCCTGGTTTAGTCCTGGTTTTAGACTTGTTTTTAGACCTGTTTTAGTCCTGGTTTAGTCCTGGTTTTAGACTTGTTTTTAGACCTGTTTTAGTCCTGGTTTTAGACTTGTTTTTAGACCTGTTTTAGTCCTGGTTTTAGACTTGTTTTTAGACCTGTTTTAGTCCTGGTTTTAGACTTGTTTTTAGACCTGTTTTAGTCCTGGTTTTAGACTTGTTTTTAGACCTGTTTTAGTCCTGGTTTAGTACTGGTTTAGTCCTGGTTTTAGACTTGTTTTTAGACCTGTTTTAGTCCTGGTTTAGTCCTGGTTTTAGACTTGTTTTTAGACCTGTTTTAGACCTGTTTTAGTCCTGGTTTTAGACTTGTTTTTAGTCCTGTTTTAGTCCTGGTTTATTGGCGCAGCTGGTGCGATGTGCGGTAAGAGGGACGGGATGGGGGACTGTCTGTGTGGTGTATTAATAAATGGTTTTATTAATGCAAAATAAAATATCCAGCACAAATTATGCATGACATGTTTACATTCATCATTTGTAAATTTTACTTTACTCATATTTATTTTGCGGGACTGCAGTTTATCATCCCACCTGCCCCCTCCCGCGCCCGCAATGAATTTTCAAAATGTGTCTCACGCCGCACTGTTTTGCGTCGGGTCCCGCGGGCGCAGGGCTCTACCGTGCAGTGACGCGATCTGATTGGTCAGAATTAGCCTCATCAAAACCTCCGTGGATCTATTAAAATAACTGGAGGGTGTTGCTGCTTGTATCTGTCTTGTGTTGGCGTAGTGACACTCACTGGAACTTCAGCGAAAAAATCCCTCCTGCCCAGAAAGGATTTTTCTCATAGAGCACAAATATAAAATAAATATATAAATATAACTATAATATAAAAATAAAAATATATAATCATAAACTGCTCGTGTTCAGCTGCCAGGGCACCTACAGTTTTAAAAAATGTCAGATTTTGTGGCGATTTTAACTTTTTCTCAGCTCACAATCCTTCAGTTGTCTTAAAAACATTTTTTTAATCTTTGGCTCCGGCTCGGCTCTAGCTCCACTCTCACAGGATCGATCGCTTCTGCCTTGACATCTTGGATCTTTGCTGTGAAATCGTTCACTGCGAATTTACACTCTGAATTTTCACTGTTAAATCTGACAGCTAGAAAATGTTTGTGCTGAATATTTAAAAGGTGAAATTTGAATTTGAAACATATTGAAAAAGTACACTTAAAAATTCAGCAACTCAAATTCAGAATAAAAATAATTAAAACATCTTTTTTCCAATTCAAAATCTGACGGAACAAATTATCTTCCATAAAAATCTCTATGGTTGCTCGAATTTATTGCAATCCAAAACAAATAACGAGAAATTCAACTTTTGTGGATCAGAAGTTTGGAAATTTCTTGCAAAAACAGCGAATCTCCCACCCCATTGTGTTTTTTTTTTGTTTTTTTTCACATTTAGAAAATAAAAATAAAAAGAGTGAGTGAAGTGGTGGCAGTGACCTCTTGTACGTGTTCAGGACCCAGGTCAGCAGAGACACGATTTCATTGGCCTCCAGATCCTCTGCAGCCAGTTCAGTCACACGAGTGGAGACAGCGTTATGATACAGGCTGAAAAACCTGAAACAACAACACGAAATGTGGGTTAGGAACAGACAGAAGCAGAAGAGACGGTCAGAGGAGAAGAAGAGAAGGTTAGAGGAGAAGAAGAGAAGGAGAGGGTCAGAGGAGAAGTTGAAAGGAGAGGGTCAGAGGAGGAGAAGGTCAGAGGAGGACAGGAGAAGAGGAGAGGGTCAGAGGAGCAGATGAGAGGGTCAGGGGAGGAGAAGAAAGGGTCAGAAAAGTAGAAGAGGGGGTCAGAGGGTCGTAGGAGCAGAGGAGAGGGTCAGAGGAGAAGAGAAGGTCAGAAAAGCAGAGGAGAAGAAGAGAGGGTCAGAGGAGCAGAGGAGAGTGTCAAGGAGGAGAGGAGTGGGTCAGAGGAGCAGAAGGGAGGGTCAGAGGAGCAGAGGAGAAAAAGAGAGGGTCAGAGGAGGAGAAGAGAGGAGAGGAGAAGAGGAGGAGAAGAGAAGGTCAGAGGAGCAGGGGAAGAGAGGAGAGGGTCAGACGAGCGGGAAAGAGGGTTAGACGAGAAGAAGAAAGGATCAGAAAAGTAGAGGAGAAGGTCAGAGCAGAGGGTCTGAGGGTCAGAAAAGTAGAAGAGGGGGTCAGAGGAGAAGAGTAGAAGGTCAGAGGAGGAGAAGAGAGGGTCAGAGGAGAAGAAGAGAGGGTCAGAGGAGAAGAAGAGAGGGTCAGAGGAGGAGAAGAGAGGGTCAGAGGAGAGAAGAGAGGGTCAGAGGAGAAGAAGAGAGGGTCAGAGGAGAAGAAGAGAGGGTCAGAGGAGAAGAAGAGAGGGTCAGAGGAGAAGAAGAGAGGGTCAGAGGAGGAGAAGAGAGGGTCAGAGGAGAAGAAGAGAGGGTCAGAGGAGAAGAAGAGAGGGTCAGAGGAGGAGAAGAGAGGGTCAGAGGAGAAGAAGAGAGGGTCAGAGGAGAAGAGAGGGTCAGAGGAGGAGAAGAAAAGGTCAGAGGAGGAGAAGAAAGGGTCAGAGGAGGAGAAGAAAGGGTCAGAGGAGGAGAAGAAAGGGTCAGAGGAGCAGGTCAGAGGGTCAGTGGAGAAAAAAGAGAGGGTCAGAAGGTCGTCGGAGAAGAAGAGAAGGTCAGAGGAGAAGGTCAGAGAAACAGAGAGTCAAAGGAGAAAAGGAGAGGTTCAGAGGGTCAAAAGGTCAGAGGAGAGGGTGAGAGGGTCATAGGGTCATAGGGTCATAGGGTCAGACCTGTTGAACGTGTTGTAGTGTGGGGGGAAACACTGCACCATGAGGTTTTGGACCACGATGAGGTCGTCCAACACGTATTTCCTCATGATCTCCAGGAGACGCACCAGCCACATCTTATCCGCCTCCCGGGTCACGCTCTGGGTGCCCTCTATACGGGTGCTCACCGTGCCCTCCAGAACCTGCAACAACAAAACAAAAAACTGTAAAAAAAAAACAAAACAAAAACTGCTATTTAAAAGTACATTATTACTGTTTTGTTTATCTTCTGTCTGTTTTGAATTGTTCTAAAAAAAATGTATCTCATGTTTCATTTGGGTCAATGATTTACAGCATTTTTATTCAGTGAAAATCAATAAAGTAATAAAAAGTGAACATCTTTGTCATTCCTGGGTCTATCAACGTAAAATAAAAGTTGAAACCCAACTCAAACCCTAACCCTATTTTCTGCTGTTTTCCTGCTGCATCGGAGGAGGACGCTGTGATAACCGTTTTCCTTTTCGTCCAAAATACCGTATTTATCGGACTATAAGTTGCACTTTTTTTCATGGTTTGGGTGTTTCCTGTGACTTATCCTCCGGTGCGATTTCTATATTAAAATTTTCAGACTGACAGCCGCGAGAGGCTCTAGTTTTGTGTGTCAGTATCTGCTGCTCCTGTTCCTCCTGTACCACTGTCACTGCGCATGCCCCCTGTAGAAAAAGCTGTTGTCATTGCTGCAAGTCGTGAAATCTGCAGCTGAAAACGGTAATCGAGCAGCAGAAAGCAAGTTTGGAGTGAGCGAGAAACTTGTGAGGGACTGGCGGAAAGCGGGGATGGAGAACACAGCTTCACGGCAACCGGGAGGATGCGCCACGAAACTTTCCTGAAGTCACTGGATGGATGGACAAAGCCTGAACTTCACTGACACCGAAACCATCCTGTCGAGATTCAGAAAGGCCTGAATAATTCTAACTGAAACTGATGCTGAGTCTGACGACAGCGACACAGAAGAGGAAGCGGTGCAACGTTTACATCATGGATCTATAGTTTACCTCTGGAGGTCGCGCAGAAGTGACACCGAGGATGAAGAATTGAATGGATTTAGTGATTTGGAGTGAGATCATGAGTTTGGTAAACTTATATTCTGTTGTTTATGCTATAATTATCTGAATAACTGAATATGTTACGTTACCCTTGGGTTCGGTCAAGTGATAACGGAGGGAAACAGGGGCAGATTTTTGACATTCAAATGTCTCTTATTCAGAAACTAGAGGGACTATTGAAATAAGTAAAGTATCAGAATGTAGGAAAGAGTTACACTCCAACAGGGTCAAGTTAAACCTGTGATATTCTTTCAAGTTGTTGACAAAAAATTTAAAAACTCATGTCGGTAACGGAGGGAATGAAATATGCAGCACTTTTTGGCCAATAAATCCAAACAGTGATAACTCTTGGTTCTCACTTACATATCCTTAACAAACTGGTTTGAATATTTGCTTCATATAGTTTTCTACCATATGGTACAAGATTAGGTTGAAAAACCTCTTACTTTTTGAGTCATGAGATTTTTTATTAAGAAAGGTCATGGTAACGGAGGGAAAATTGTGCAAACAAGTAGAAGGTGCAGGATTTTACATAATTTGTCGCTTTTTTCTTCTGAATACTTTAATATTACTTCAAAATGAAAGGAAACTATTTCTATAAAATATGTCAGTCATTCCAAGCAAATTTTTATCATTTTAAATATATATATATATATTTTTTTAATCATGTACCTTCATCAACAGTTCAAAGATGGAATAACACAAGATATGATGAAATACATCCATTTATTTACATGATTTGCAGGTCTTTGAAATTTGGGAAATCATTTTTGTTCCATGTTTCATACATGGTCTGTTTAAAATGTATGTAACTTTACCAAAAATGGTACAAATAAAAGGTAAACAGTTTCATAAACTAGAGTACATATGCTATCTGTTGAATACATTTTTATATATTTATATTAACTTGAATTTTTGGCCCTGCTGTTTACTTCTGCTTGACCGGGCCCCATATTAAAGCCTATCCAGCCTGTTGTTCTCTGTTCCATTGTTATTACTTTCATAATGAAATGTCGGTTCCTGGTTTCTGATTTTATAAAAAAAAAAAAAAGTGTGACTTATATATGTTTTTTTCTTCTTCACTGCGCATTTTTTGGCTGGTGCAACTTATAGTCCTGAAAATACGGTAAATAATAACACAGCGCGCAGAGGGACACGAGGATATTGACTGAACACTCGAATCGTATCGAATCCTGACACCAGTATCAAACGATTCAATATTGTATTGAATATCTTTGCATCCCTAGTTCTGTTTCATTCACACGAGTCCTGTTATTAGTCTGAAACATAAAACAACTCCAGGTACGTTTGTGATGAGGAAATGATAGAAGATGATCTGTAGAACATAGAAATGTAAGTTAATAATTTGTGAACGTTCAGTATTTTTGTACAGATTTTCATACTAAAAATGAAAACAAGGTGATTAAAACAAGCATAGAGTAAAGTAGTTCTTATGTTTTTCCCTTCATCTCGTCCCTCTGACCTGAAACATCTTGTCTTTCCAGCGTTTGGGTCTCCCCGGAGGGATGAAGCCCGTCTGTCTCTTCCTGTCCACCATCTTGCGGTCGATCTTCTCCTCCCTCTCGATGATCCTCACGGCCGACACTAACATAGTGGGGTCTCTGCGCACCGTCACCATGGCCCTCTGCAGGACCATCCACAGCTGCTTGGCCAGTTCATCTGACAAACCCTGGACCTGGACCAGAGACCGGAGGGGGGACCAGAGGGGGACCAGAGGAGAGAGACCAGAGACCAGAGACCAGAGACCAGAGGAGAGACCAGAGACCGGAGAGAGACCAGAGACCAGAGGAGAGACCAGAGGAGAGAGACCAGACGAGAGAGACCAGAGACCAGAGGAGAGAGACCAGAGACCAGAGAGAGACCAGAGACCAGAGAGACCAGAGACAGAGGAGAGACCAGAGACCAGAGGAGAGACCAGAGACCAGAGAGAGAGAGACCAGAGAGACCAGAGACCAGAGAGAGACCAGAGACCAGAGAGAGACCAGAGACCAGAGACCAGAGACCAGAGGAGAGACCAGAGACCAGAGACCAGAGACCAGAGACCAGAGACCAGAGAGAGACCAGAGACCAGAGGAGAGACCAGAGACCAGAGACCAGAGACCAGAGAGAGACCAGAGACCAGAGGAGAGACCAGAGACCAGAGAGAGACCAGAGGACCAGAGGAGAGACCAGAGGAGAGAGACCAGAGACCAGAGGAGAGACCAGAGACCAGAGGAGAGACCAGAGACCAGAGAGAGAGACCAGAGACCAGAGGAGAGACCAGAGGAGAGACCAGAGACGAGAGACCAGAGACCAGAGACCAGAGGAAAGACCAGAGGAGAGACCAGAGTCCAGAGGAGAGAGGGCAAAGACCAGAGTGGAGAGGGTGAGTTTTTGATGCATGGCTGATGGTGCAAAACTGTTCATAAGTGGATCTTATGAGATTTTTTATCTACCTCTGATAAAAAAGGACTAAGTGCTGGTGAATTATGCCACTTGATAAACCACAGTTTTTAAAAAGTGCTAAATTCATTGTAGAAATATCTTGCAGAAGTCTGATAATCCTGATACTAACAGATCAATATTGTGAGAAAAATACATTTATAACCAGATTGCTTATTACACACATAAAAAGTGACTTGTATGTATCACATTTTCCCTTTTCTGACTATTCCAGCAGATGAAATATGACTCTAACCTCTTTATTGTTGTTAATCGCAGTAGTGTACTCACGTCCTCAAAGTAAATGGAGATGAGGTGCATGTCACTGGTGTTCCTGCTGTCCATCCTGTACTGTTCATACATGAGGTCGTCTCTGGAGCTCTCCAGCTCCATCAGTTTCCTGTGAGCCTGCAGCAGATCAGCCTGTTCTATCAGCTGGTGAGTGGAGGCCACGATCTCTGGGACTGAGCACATGAACAGAGCGGGTTTTAAAGGGCGCAGCAGGGTTTAAATAATAAACTACACAAAGCAACGCCATAAGTGAAATGTGATGGGAGACCTCTGTGTTATAACAACATCTTTGTACTTATTATAACAACACTGCACTTAAATATTGTTCTAAAACAGCACCATAAACATCGTCACAACAAAGAGGCGAACACTGTGGGCCCCTCTGTGGATAACTGCACATCACAGTCACTTTAACTTGTTAGACTAGAGAATGAACAAGTGCAATCAGAGACCTCAACCTGGTCCCCATGAGGCGTCGTGGGGTCAGTTCATCACCACAGAAGCAGTTTATGAGGAATCCAGCCCATATTACATGATCAATATATCCACAATGTAATGTGTGTATGTGTACAGGCCCATGAACATTTGTGTGATGTTGGTCACACATGAGAATGTCTGTGTTTACTAGTGTGTCACCAAAATGTCACTTTTCATGAGTTGTGTGTATGTGTTAGTTGTGTGACTGTAGATCAGTGTGTTGTGTATAACCAGAAAAACAAGAAATGGAAATTATTTTACATACACTGAAAGAGAAAGGAACTGTTATAATTAGTGATTATCTGGAAAACTATTTTACTATACAAATAGAAAAATTATGATCTATTTATAATTCTGTGTGAGATTTTGAGACACTCCCATTGCTCTAGCTCGATGCTTCGCGGAGTTATGACCAAAAATGCATATTTGACCTTGGCTACCTGGACCGGTTTTAACCTGTAACATCCAGTGTACTTTGTTTATGTGTGTGTCAACTTGTGTGATGATTGGGTGAATATTTTAGGCCGCGGATGGTTCAGAAATTGCAGAAATTGCCGATCCTTTATAGTGACGTGACCTTTCAACTGACTCGTGTGATCTGAAATGACCTCGGATCGTCACCAAACTTTTTTGCGGCATCTAGCAAGAAGGCTTGACCCACGTACCAAATTTGGTGATAATCAGTCCATAAATAGCAGAATTATCACGGGTGGACAGACACACAGATACACAGGGTGAATATAAAACCTGGTCAATAAAATGAGGTAAAAAAATGAGGGATTTCACAGATGTTTTGTCCTGGTGTCAGTCGTGAATTATCGTTACACTGTGATGCGGTGTCGTCCCTGCAGAGGTGTTTACCAGAGAAGATGTTCTTGAGGTTCTCCACAGCAGAGGCCAGCTGACTGTGCTGCACCACCGCGTCCTTCACGTCCTTCAGGCTCTCGATGGTGTTGATGCTTTGTCTCCAGTCTTTGCTCACGTCGCCCAGGGAGCTCTGGATCTGCTTCACATCCACCAGCGCCGTGTGCAGCTGAGTCAGACCGGTCCGAACGCCGTCCAACTGAGACTGGATGGCTGCCTGGAGGAGACGCAGGAGATTTAACACACTAAAGGTTAGACTCATGGACTAGAATGTGATGGTAGTGTTTCTGTTAGATTTACAGGATTGCGATTTAGAGAAGAAGATTTATAAAGCGACTCCCACAGCTCCGCTCAAACTGTGAGAGGAACATGACTACAACTCACATTATGTAACAGATAACCCCATGTGCTGTCAATCATTATTTAATCTTCACACTCTTTTTCCTTACGACCTCTTGTATATAGCTGAGATATTTATATTACTATATTTTTATATTTTATTTTTACTTGTACATATACATTTTATAATTATGCCTTATTTTGACACCAGTCTCTTGTTATTTTTGCTACTTATTTATTATTACTATATTAATATTTTAGTTTTTTGTTATTATAATATCGTGTGATTATGATGTGTGAGCTTCAGTGTCCAAATAATTTCCCTTGTGGATCAATAAAATTTGTGTAAGTCGGCGCTAAAAACCTTTCTCAAGTGCTGTCAGTGGCAATTATCAAGACTGAGTGGTTTAATTTTCCTGGGATGCAGAATATACGCAATACTTACGATGATGTGAGTCTGGTCACTGCTGTGTCTCCCTCAGACCAAATCTGAGTGGTGACCAGACTGTTATCTCAGAAATCCCAAATACACAGCAAACATTCTGGGCTTGAAATGCAATGGTTTATGTATTTCAAGTTTTTCGTGGTCAGAAATCTCATTTGAGGCGTGCACTGCAAAAAAGCTTGGCTAAAAGTTAAGATATAAACACTTCTATCAGAAAATGACTTAAAAGTGGTGAAATGATGTGTCCGTGCAGCGAGATCATTTTACTCGACATGTTCTCTTAAAATAAACGACCTCAAGACGAGAATTAATCCATTGCAGAACTAGTAAGTGGACAATAAATCTGAAAACAAGATGAAAAATATAAGTTCTAAAATCTTGGCCAGATCAGAGAAATTTGCAGTGTGTCCACATGAGATTTAAAACATCAGTAAGGACATAACTGCTCCATCAAACAGTGACCCTCTCCTCTCCATCCTCTGCTCCATCTGACCCTCTCCTCTGCCTCCTCTGCTCCCTCTGACCCTCTCCTCTGCTTCCTCTCCCCTCTGACCCTCTCCTCTGCCTCCTCTGCTCCATCTCACCCTCTTCTCTCCATCCTCTGCTCCTCAGACCCTCTCCTCTCCATCCTCTGCTCCATCTGACTCTCTCCTCTCAATCCTCTGCTCCACTTGACCCTCTCCTCTGCTCTATCTGCTCCTCTCCTCTGTTTCTTCTGCTCCATTTGACCCTCTCCTCCTCTGCCCCTCTTCTCTCCATCCTCTGCTCCATCTGACCCTCTCATCTGCCTCCTCTGCTCCTCTCTTCTCCATCCTCTTCTCCTTCTGACCCTCTCCTCTGCATCCTCTGCTCCTCAGACCCTCTTCTCTCCATCCTCTGCTCCTTCTGACCCTCTCCTCTGCATCCTCTGCTCCTCAGACCCTCTTCTCTCCATCCTCTGCTCCATCTGACCCTCTCATCTGCCTCCTCTGCTCCTCTCTTCTCCATCCTCTTCTCCTTCTGACCCTCTCCTCTGCATCCTCTGCTCCTCAGACCCTCTTCTCTCCATCCTCTGCTCCTTCTGACCCTCTCCTCTCCATCCTCTGCTCCTCAGACCCTCTTCTCTCCATCCTCTGCTCCTTCTGACCCTCTCCTCCCTGCTCCTCCTCTTCGCCTCCTCTTTCTCTCCTCTGCTCCAGTCTCAGCATCTTTCCTCCCGCTCTCCGTCGCCTCTGCTAGTTTAACCCTTCTCTTTTTTTCCTCAAACTCCAGCACACGCCCCGTCGTTCACCTTGAGCCTGGCCTCCACAGACGCCTTCTTTCGGGCCTCTCTCCTGCGGTACTGGTCCACCTTGTCGAGCTGGTCGGAGCGCTGGAGCATCCCCGCCACCCGCTGCACCGCCGTGGCCACCGCCTCCCGGCTCGTCTCCTCCATTCCTCTCCGGCACTTTTCCGCGATCAAACTGCGACGAAAACCAGCACACGAGCTTTAAGGAGACGTCTGCGCAGCGCAAAATATGCAAATGTGTTCGATACGCGCAATAAAACGAGCGAAAATGGGGGAACAGGAGAGGCTAGCGGTTAGCAATCGAAGCTAATGTTTATATTTTGACAGCCGCGTCGGAATTCACTATTTTTAAGAGGACAAGTGTTAATCCGTGAAATGTGTTGACTGCATTAAAAATAAAGCATGATCGCAACAAAAAATGTAAATTAGCGTTGAGAAATTCATTAAACGAAACGAAGAAGACACAAAAATAAGTCTAACATACCCTCAGAAGACGCAGGTCAGTTAATGTACATGTCTAAGGGTCGCTTCTGGTCATACTGAAGGATCGGTCAATTATCCGGGTCCGATTATTTTTGAGTTTGGGGTGAAATTAGAGAATAAAAAACGGCAGATTAATGTTTTTACTTCCTGGAAGTGGAGCACGGCGGACACGTGATCACGCAGAGGCGCGCGCAGCTGCAGGCGTCAACGCAGCGCCGCCATCTTGGTCAGGTCAGCTCTATCTTTTTTTTTTTTTTTTTTTTTTTTTTTTTTTTTAATACTTCCCAGATACAAACGAAAGGCACCATACAAACTTCACATCCAAACCGAGTAAGAAAAAAAGAAAAAAAAAAAAAGCAAATTGCAGTTGTGAAGAAAAATGTAAACAAGAATACTTTCACGAATGAACCATGGGGGCAAATTCTAAAGCTGTAATCAAAGGAACAAATTGGCATCATTTAAAAAAGATACAAGAAACCCAGCTTCTCTTTTTTCAATCAGGTTCAATGAATCAACAAAAATTCTTAGGTCATTACTAAAGTACGTTATATTTGGTTTTACCTTAAAACATCGACATGTGTGAATAAAAAAAATTCCTAAGAGTAATAAATTATTAATTCCAAATTCCTTCCTTTTATCTTCTCTTAATACACCAAATTTAATTTCTTTTATTGTTAGGGGGGCAAAGGTCAGCTCTACCTACACTGGGAACACTTCTGTCAAACTGAAATAGAAACAATCACTCACCTGTTTTACCACTGCACATACAGTAAGAACATCTGGACCCACATACAACAACTCTTCCAAACCAAAACCAAACACTCGATCAGCCTCCAGGAAAGTGACGCCCTGTTTTACTTCACCAGCCCCTCCATCCCCAAAGATCTTGAACTCTTCATTCACACTCTAATTATGCTGGCAAAATATCACATACACAAAACCAAACGGTCTCAAAATAAACCAAATATTCATCAATATAATAACGAAATCCAACAATACTTTCAGACAATAAAACAGGTCCAAAACAAAAAAGCAATTAAAACTTACAATATCTATAAAAAAAATATATAATATAGCTTTATTTAATTTATGATATTCTGTTTTGATTTGTTATTCTGTTGTTTAGTTTTGGTTTCATTCCTTTTGCTCCCCTGTGTGTTAATTTGCAAACCACCCCCATGTTGCAGTGTGTTTATGTGTGTTTGTGTGTTTAAGTGTGTTTATGTGTTTAAGTGTGTTTATGTGTGTTTGTGTGTGTCTGTTTATGTGTATGAATGTATATGTATATTTTCCATATCTCACTCCTGCCATAACTGTGAACTGGACTTTGCATTGATGCAACAACAATCCAATCTGCACCTTATACTGTATATACATTGGTTGTTTTGTCTTGTTGTTATATGTCTGCAATAAAGATAAATAAATAAAATAAAATAAAATAAAAATTTAGCAGCGCCGCCATGTTGGTCAGGTCAATGGAGGGTTATGAGTTAGCTCTATGGCTCCACCTGCTGGAAACATTTAGAAGTTTATCTTTCGCAGGAATTACGAGTTCAAATAACCCCCAAAGAAGAAAATATAACTCACTATACACAGCAAAAAGGAAAAAAAAAAAAAAAAAAGGATAAAACAAAAAATTTAAATGAACAGAAAATATGTAAATGCAAATTAGATTTTTTTTTTTATTTTTGTGTGTGTTAGTCTTATATTTGGTTATGTCTGTTTCATTATTAATGTGCTGGGTATTCATTCCCTCAAAATGACAAAAATTATAAATAAAAAAAGTGCAACAATTGAAAACCTCACTAATTTATTCATACTTCTTGGAAAATACCATATTCACAGAGCAAATGAATTACTGATTTCAGTGACTGTTAATCGAAATAAATCTGTAATTTCGATTTATTCACCAGTTATCCTGCTAAAAGCTTGAGCAATAATCAGTATTTACAGTTAGGTGACCTACTTTTCCCCCCATTAACATCTGATGCTTCCCAAAATCAAGTTAGTAAATATTTGTGTATTTATCATTTAGCTTCCTTTTGTTGGTTTTACTTTTTTTTAGGTTTTATTTCATATATGTATGTGAAATTGAATGTCTGCTTTACATGTTTACATTGTCTGTACGCATTATTTAAAAAAAACAAAAAAACTATTAAAAAAAAAAAAAAAATCTAAAAACTCTATATCGATAGCACCCACTTTGGCCATTTGCAAAGTCCTAAACCACCACCAGTGTCCTGTTTATACGCAACATCAAGAACTTTTCCCAAATCAGTTTGAGATTTTAGTCCATGATTTCAGATTGACAAACAAAAAAAACAAAAAACACACTCTGGGTTCTAGTAGGACAATTTATTGAAAAAATATAATTTAAATATTAAATTTTCTTTAAAAATCACATTAGAAATCTCGTCCACTCAGTGTCGACCTTTTCCTCCTGCAAAATAAAACAACAATCAGTTTTGGCAATAAAATATGAATAAATTTTATTTCTAAAGCCTCACCTCTTTGTTTTCCAGGTTTGTTGTAGTCGAAGTAAACTTCCTGTTGGTTGTAGGGTCGATCTGTTCAGATTGAATTATGAGAAAAATAGGTCCAGTTTTTCTGGTGGAGGGAGTTTGCCATTTGCTTGTCTCCATGGGAGATGTTATTGTGCCTCGAGTATGTTACATGTAATGTTTTTCAGTGGATTGGATTGATAGGAAATTCATTTTTATGATTCTAACAATTCAGTGAACGCGCCACACCTGGTCTCTTTTAGAGCTCCACACCTGCGATCAAACTGGAGGCTCACAGCGCACGTTTCCCTACGAATGTTTCTATTGCTCAAAAAAAAAACGCCTTAGCAAAACACAGAATTTTACTGTGAGTCACCTCGCCTTTCCACAGATCTGCCAATTACCATGAAAAAAGATTAGTTTAATGCTGTGCTGTTAAATATTCCAGGTAAGGCAATAACATCTATATGGACACAAGCAGGTGGCGCACCCTTACCCAGAAAAGTTACAGTGCACCTTTAAAGTACTGAATTTAGTTTGGTGAAAGAAGCTGGTGCAACAGTACAGCAGCCTCAAGATCAGAATACATTTGTTAAAAAAATATATATAAATCATGTGAACGGAATATAAATGTGAAATAAAAAAAAAAAAAAATCAAACTGGACTCACAGGGGCCCTTGTTCCTGCCCTGGTTGTGCCTCTTTTTCTGCCAGTTTGCCCCCTCAGAGCGAGCGCTGCAGTTGTACACATCTGGAACACAGTTTAGACTTTAGAATGAAGATTTTTGAATGAAGGTTTTTTAATTATTTCTATTAGAAAAGCTCCTGCACAACTTTTCTCTATATAGAATGTATATTTTTTAATTGTTAATCACCAAAGCAACTGTACAATTTTTTCTTTTTATCACTCAAAGGCACAGCTATGGGAGCCCATTTCCACCAGTAAATAAAAAATAAAAGCCTCACAGAAAGTCATAATTAGGAGTTTTAAAGTTGACTCTGAATCTGCTCTTGTCATGGAAGCACACGGTCATTTTCCACACGGCTCCATTTATTTTTTTATTTGTGAATGTAAAAAGACAAGACAGACATCCACACAAATCCCACATGAATGAGTATGTGCAAAGTGTCCATGGTAGCGGGTTTAGTCCAAACAGGGGGATGAAGCACCTTTGGCTCTGTGGTCCTGGTCTCTTGGCCGGGAATTGATGAGCTTTGCTGGGCACTTGGCACAGGCGACTTTGGGTTGAAAATATGGGCACACAGCAAATAAAGTGAAGTGAATTAGTAAAATAACTACACTGTTTTTACTTGTAGTGGTTTAATACATGACTTCTACAGGAAAACTGGCCATACCAGCTTGTCACAGTCTGATCCTGTCAGATCTCAGAAGCTCAGCAGGGCAGGGCCTGGTTTGTACTTGGATGGAGACACTGGGAAAATCAGGAGTCACAGGAGGCGTCAGTTGTAAAAAGCTTTGTGTCCTTAGGCAAAGCACTTCACCCACATTGCCTAGTATGAAAGCAGTGAGTGCGTGGGTGTTGGTGGTGGTTGGAGGGACCGATGGTGCAGATTGGCAGCCTTCCGACAGTCTGCACCAGGGCAATTGTGGTTACAATAGTAGTTTACCAAAACCAGGTCTAGAGTGAATGAATAATACTCTGTAAAGCGTCTGAGTGTCCAAAATAGTGCTATATAAAACTGATGCATTATTAATAAAATGGTCACACCAGCCCACATGCTTGCATGACGAGAGCAGGTTCAAAGTCATCTTCAAAAACTCCTAATTATGAGTTTAAAAGTCATAATTATGAGTTTGCACAGTGCACCGTTAAAGCTCACAAGAGTCAATTTTGAACGAAACAGACAAATTAAACATATGAAGTCCCAGCTTTACCTGACGCATTGGCATTCGGTTTGCGGTTGATGCTCGCGTTTCCTCTTGACGTCTGGAATTCTGGAAACTGCACCCCACAATCCACCAGATTCCCTTTAGACGGAGACAGCTCCATTGCGACGTGATCCAGAGGAGGCACCAACAACAGCCCGGCCCCGACCTCCAATGCGTTTTTCTGAGCCGACGACTCTTCGCTGGCTTTTTCCGAATCCAACGTTATAGTTTTGTCTTTATTGGAATCTTCACTTTGATCCAGTTTTTCTTCCGCTGTGAAAGAACGCCGCTTCGGGTTTTGGGCAGGCTCGGAAGTTTCGATTATCTCGATTTCTTTAGCGCAAATTTCAGACATTTTCATTTTAATAATAGGAGAGTCTAGTGGATTCAGGCATTTCTGCATTTTGTAGTTCTTCGGCTCGCTTGGCACAGTTTGCTTAATGTCCATTTTGCTGGCCGGCGTGCTGAAGTCAATAAAACTATCTGATAACTGTACAGAATCTGTCGAAGAATTTAGTCTATTTTTTGGATTCTCCGGCTTCTCATTTTCTCCATTTTCTGCTTCTTCCTGCAATTCTAAAATGACTTCTGGCCCGGCTGTCGTGTTTTGCGCCAACCATTCTTTCGTAGGTACGTAAACGGGAAGCGACTCCACCGACCAAACTGATTCGTTAAGTTTCCTTCTAAATTTCCCATTAGGGGTTTGTACGCTTCCAGACGGTTCTTCTAGCGTCAGTTCGTTCACAGTATCGTTCCCAGTGTTGCATAATTTAATCGAAATGCTCAGCGAACGCTCAAACGGTTCGTAACGAGATTTTGATTCGACAACTTTCTCGTTTTCATCTTTCTCTGCGTCAACAGTCTCTGGCTCGAGCTGCTCCTCGTTCAAGACGGTTGAGCTTTGGAAATTCTCAATCTCGTCATCGTACGGAGGCAGTTTCTCGTTTTTATCGTCGTCCGCGGTCTTGTCTTCTTGGGGCGTTCCATTTCCCCAGCTCAACAGAATATCCGGTACTGAAATCCTCCTCTCTTTTTTGGACATGTCTTTGCGAGGGGAGTTCACTGGGGTTACGTTTTCTTGTCTCATCATAAGCACATTTCGATTTTTCAAAGACTGTAAATTCACTAAACTGTTGTCTTCACTTATTTTCGGTATGCTCTGCCTTTCTTCAGGACTTGGCGTGGGTAAACAAGGCTCGACACTGCCTCTGGTGCATGAAATCTTCATCTGCAAGCCTTTATTTGGTTCATTGTAACTCTCCACATCTTCGTTTGACTTTTTCTGGCTGGAGGTGGAGGAGGTGGGGGAGGTGGACGCCGTTTCTCTGCCCGAGTCCGAGGAGCTTCGTCGTGGGCTCTCCTCGTGGAACTCTCCACCCCTCGGTTCTGTCTGGACTTCGGTGTTGACGGTTTCGCGGGCGGGGCCGGGGGGCTGGGGCGGGCGCGGTCTCCTGGTGGCGTTGGGGTTCTGGTAGGGGGCGCTGTAGGGCTGGGCCATGCGTCTGTAGTCCAGCGGCTGCACTGGAGCGTGGGGGACGAAGTAGGCGGGGGGGTCCATGTACGCGGCAGGGGGGAAGGGAGGCATCATCATACCATAACCTGCAAAACACAAGGATTAACCAAGGCAGTTTTAACGAACATCTCCATCTGCAAAATGAAACGTGATCTTTTTTTTATGACTTTCTTGAAACAGGGCTGCAGAATTATTTGCAATGAAATCAAATTGAAATTTTGACTGATACACTCATCCCATTTGCAAAGTTAGTGGAATGTCCTTTGCAAACAGAAAAATGTCTGACTTGTGGTTTAGATGTCCTAAAAGTTCACATTTGTCAATGCGCAATGTGCACGGTTACATTTGAAAACGAAATCTAAATTGAAACTATAGTAAGAACATTTATTTTTACCCTAAACCAGGGGTTTTCAACGTTTTTTCAGGGCAGGGACCGCCAAACTGATGGAGAGCTCGAGCAGGGACCACCTTCTATATCTATAGGCGAGTTTCAGCTGACGTCATTGTTATTAAAAGCCCGCGTTGCTGCTGGGAAATATTTTGGTTGGAGGCAAGAAACACGATAGCGTCAAACACAGTGCGTAACCTCGCGTATTTATCCCCGATAATGGTAAATTCCTGCTGCATTATCGGATGCACAAATAGAAGCACGGAAGAAGGAAAATGTCTTTTTCGTATTCCGAGTGAAAAGAACCGCTAACGGTGAATTAAACGACTTTCAAACATCCGCAGAGCAAACGTAGAAGATCCTAACAAACCGTTTAAAAAAAAAAAAAAAAAAAAGATCTGTTTAAACGAAAGAGGAGCCACAGCGTACAGACAACAGTTTGATTTGGGACACTGAACTTTTCTAGTCATTCTGATCTGAGGAGCAAGAGGAAGGACACAACTACCCCCGTTCCCCGGGGAGTGTGGAGCCTGGTTAATGTGCCCCAGAAATGAAGTTGCTTGACCCCCTTCCCGATGCGCGGTAGTGTGTGCGGAGCTTAACTTCCGCTGTGCATAAAAGTAAAGCTGTAACATAAGTCTTCACTTGTAGCCTAACAAGAAAAGTCATCAACCAAAGACTTCGCGATCCCAATGTTGAAGGCCTCTGCCTCTGTATCCACACTTTCCTGGACTTGTGATGCGATGATCATCACCAAGTGCTGGGCTTTTGCTTTACTTCAGACAAATAAATCTCTTCACGTTTTTTACCGCTCAAGATCAAAAAATGATTTCCTTTTAAAGAAACAGTAACTCCTGAACCCTTTCTCCAAATAGATGTGATTTTAGACTGTGGTCATGTCACACTCTCAGATGAGGGAAAAGATCCAGAGTTCCCAATAGAGAACATTGTACTTTGCCATTAAATATCAAAAAGGTAAATGCACAAATGTTCAACCTGATCATTTACTAAACACAAGAACTTCCTGTATTGCGAGACAAATCTGCATTTTTACAATATCCATTTTACCCTCCCACTTCTGTATTAAAAATTATTGGCCTATAGAATGTTGTGGTATCATCTAAAACTCACCAATTGTGCATAGAAAATGTGGGGAATACCATTATAAAACATAATTTCATCACCGTTAATCACCGTCATTTGGACCAAATCAATAAAATGCAGGAGGTTAAGTGCAAGTGTTAAGTGAGGACTTAACGCACTTAGAACCAGGAGAATAAACATGAGTCATATTTTTTACAGGCTCAAAATCGGGAGTAAATTAAATCAGCAATCAACACTAAATGGTAAAAATGATAGAGGATAGACCATTTGTCATGTTTCGATGTTTTTGTGACACTCACCCATGCCGGAGAAGGGGTTAAAGGGGTTATAGAAGGGCATGGGCCACTGGTAGTGCATGAAGGGCGGAGGGGGGGCGTGGACGTAGTACAGGGGCCGGGACACGAGCTGAGGATGGACCAGTCCCGGGTCCTGTCCTGGGACCTGGGCCTGAGCCTGAGCCTGAGCTCCCCCCGAGTTTGAGGCTCCGCTCGGACCTCGAGGATTCTCTGGCTCTGCTCCTTGAGGCCGACTGAACGCTGCTGTGGACATCTTCACTCTACAGGAGCAAGAGAGGGACAAAAGACAAAATAAGGGCAGAGAATGTTGGTTTTCAGATTCTGGTGTGAATCTGCTAAATATAACAAAACTAAATGTAGGCTTAAAAAGAACACCATCCACAAATATTCCACAAATGCCTGATTATACATTTTGTTAGGGCTGCACAATATACATCACAATTTAAATTGAAATTTTAGTTGGTGCAATAATCTGAAGGAGGCAGTTAATAGTAATTATGCATGTACAGCCTACGCTGCCACACTAGATTAAGCCTGATCTCGTCAGATCTCAGAAGCTCAGAGGCCTGGATAGTTCTTGGATGGGAGACACTGGGAAAATCAGGTGCCACAGTGGGGGCAAAAACTGTCATTGTGTCTTTAGGCAAGACACTTCACCCACATTGCTTAGTGAGAAAGTGGCGTGAGTGATGGCGGTGGTCAGAGGGGCAGATTGGCAGCCTCACTTCCGTCAGTCTGCCCCAGGGCAGCTGTGGCTACAATCGTAGCTTACCATCACTGAGTGCAGAGTGAGTGAACTGTAAAGTGCCACATAAATGCAATGATTAATTAATTAAAATAATAGAGAATTAAAAACAAAAATCCTCAGAAAACCACAAATTACACAAACAATACTACTACAAAATCTCAAATCTATTGTAAATCAAAAATTGTAAATCAAGATTTTTCAACCTTGACCTCACACTCATCTGTTCTGAGTCAAAAATTAAACATTAAAAACAAGAGCTAATTTTTGATGTCAGGTCTTCAGACGATTGAGATGTCAATGTACAGCTCTGGTTTTGACAGCGGCAGATCAGACAGAACATGCAAACAACTTCTACCATCATGTAACGAAAGGGTTTAATACAGAGGCTTTATAAAATACAAGAATGACATAAATAACATACTTTTTTTTTTTTTTTTTTTTTGGCTATAATGAGCAGCCATAAAAGTTACCAAAAGTCACTAGCAAGAAAGTAGATGGAGCTGCCAGCAACGTAACTGTGCGTGTCATTTTTAGCAATTAACTATCATAGAATCACCAATTGGGTCCCTTAAAATACGCAGAACTACCAGTATATCTCAATATTTTAACTTTAACACGATTTTTAAACCACAATTACCATTCACAAAGCAGATTTACAAACGAAAGCTAACTTTAGCATCTCCGTTAGCTTCTCAGACTGTCATGCCGCGTTATGCCGTGATCGGACGCGCTGGTATCTCGGTTCATCTTCCGTCCCGGTGGAATAAAGTGTCAAAGTTTACCTTATTTTGGATGCGGACAGACGAGCGGCAGCAGCGGGACACACACGGAGCCCACACAGGTGAGTTTTAAGTAGGTTTAATGAGCTCAGGTGTGGACACGGAGCTCACCGAATGATCCGGGGACGACACGAATCAGTACACCACCGCCACAGCAGCCCCACTGTGCAGTACACAAGGCGGGAAACTGAATGATCCGGGGACGACATGAATCAGTACACCGCTATGCTACACCACTCGATAGCTGACTTTTTTTGATTTTTTGATTTGATTTTTAAAAATACATACATACATTATTATTATTATTATTATTATTATTATTATTATTAGTTAGTAGTAGTAGTAGTAGTAGTAGTAGGCCTAAAATCTATAAAATGGTGTAGCTTAATAAATAAATAGGCTAGAATAAATAGAACAGAAATACAACAATAAATTCATGAATAGTAGTAGTAGTAATAGTAGTAGTTGTAGTAGTAGACTACAACTACTACTAGTAGTAGTAGTAGTAGTAGTAGTAGTAGTAGTAGTAGGAGGAGGAGGTCTGGTAGTAAGCCTGAAATCAATAAAATTGTGTAGCTTAATAAATAAATAGACTATATAAATACAACAATAAATCCATCAGTAGTAGTAGTAGTAGTTGTAGTAGTAGTAGTAGTAGTAGTTGTTGTAGTAGTAGTAGTAGTAGTAGTAGTAGTAGTAGTAGTAGTAGGAGGCCTAGTAGTAAGGCTAAATCATTGAAACGGTGTAGCTTTATAAATAAATAGGCTAAATAAATAAAACAATATATCAGTAGTAGTTGTAGTAGTAGTAGTAGTAGTAGTAGTGGTAGTAGTAGTAGTAGTAGTAGTAGTAGTAACAATAGTAGGCTTATTAGTACGTCTAAAATCAATTAAATGGTGTAGCTTAATACATAAATAGGCTAGAATAAATAGAACATAAATACAACAATAAATTAATCAATAGTAGTAGTAGTAGTAGTAGTAGTAGCAGTAGTAGTAGTAGTAGTAGCAGTAGTAGAAGGAGGTCTAGTAGTAAGCCTAAAATCAATTAAATAGTGTAGCTTATTCAATAAGTTGGGTACATAAATGCAAAAATAAATCCAGTAATAAATAGTAAATCTAGTAGTAGTAGTAGTAGTTGTTGTGGTAGTAGTAGTTGTAGTAGAAGGAGGTCTGGTAGTAAGTCTAAAATAAATGAAACTTTAGGCTAAATAAACAAAACAATTAATATATCAGTAGTAGTAGTAGTAGTAGTAGTAGTAGTAGTAGTCGTCGTCGTCGTCGTTGCTGACAGTTGACAGGTAATTATAGTTTATTAGATTTAGAATTAGATTTTTTAGTTTTTTGTGCAAACTAAGAGAGGAAAGAAACATATATACAGATAATTTGAAGTAAATGTTGGGTGTGTAATAATATTTTGTCTGCCCAAGTGCAGTATCAGAGAGCAGTACAGCTGCTGTAGTACTGATAAAGTAACGTTAAAAGTGTTCAAATGATAACAGTCCCACCTAAACTACTACTACTACTACTACTAATACTGCTACTACAACTATTACTACTACTACACATTACTAGTACTCCGCTTACCAGCTACTTCTTTTACTTATCCATATTGTTATTTCTAATGTTACTCCTGGACAGTCCGATTAAACCAAATTAAATTAAAAAACAAACAAAAAAACTAAATATGTTCAATTTGTCTTCTTATGTACTTTAACTTTAATAATAATAGAAAGTAAGTAACACAACAAACCACACAAATGCACCAGGACAATTCACATTTTATTAAACTTTTTTCAAGTAAATAATATATATATTTTTTTATTTAAAGACTTTATATTTCACTCACACTCATTATAATGAAATAAATATGTCCAGTGTTTGGTACAAAGCTTTTGAGGAGTTAGCATCAGGACGTTGGCATTTAAAGGTGTATTGTGTAACTTTTTGGTTACCGTCACCTGCTTGTTTCTATGGATACGTCGTAGCTCTGCCTGGAATGTTCTGCAGTGTGACATTAAACAGCTCTACTTTATATTTACTCAATTACAGGTGGCTCAAAAATACCTCGAAAAACAGGGGTTCTGACTGTGAGCTGTGTCGCCTCTCCACAGATCTGACCTGTAACGTGGTCTGGTTTGGTCCTTCACCAGAAAAGTTACACAATGCACCTTTAGTGAGTTTAGTAAGGCACTTTTTCCGTGTTTTTCCGGTCCAAACGAGCTAAAGACTTGCACACACGTCCCTTTGTGCAGTGGAGGTCAGAGTTTTCACTGTAAATACAAGAATCTCAAACAAAAACAGGATTAAACTTATCAAACCTTTCATCTGATTCACATTTAGACAAAAACTTTGCACAGATTCTAGAAATCTACTACAAGCATAATTTTATACACTGCAAAGACCTGAGTAAAAGATTTTATTATTCATTATAATTTACTAATGGGACATAATGTGCCATTTTCCTACCTAACTGACATGTAATTTAATGTGAAAAAAACAAAAACAACTAAACAAAATCAGGTTTTAAAGAATGCACTATGTCATTGTTCTGGTGGAGTTTCTTCAGTGTTCCACAATATATTATTAAACATATACATATCTCCATGGAAACAAGTTTTTCATTACTTGTAATTGAATATGTTGTGCAAAATGGATAAGTTCAAGTCTCTCCACTAGAAGAGTTACACAGTGCCCCTTTCAGTACATTAGAAATACATAAATTTAAATAGAAACAGATCAAATAATCAATATTCAGTTAGTAAATAACGATCAAAAACTGCTCACATTCAAATTAATATTATGAAGTCATTTTTGCCTAATTGTACCTTCATTTTTGCAGTGTCTTTGTCATATTCTTATATTGAAATGTTAAAATCGTGTTTTATATTTTGAAGTTTGCGCGGAGCTGACGTCCCTTCAGAGGCTGTGGAGGTCTGAAGTTGTCCACCATGTCCCAGACTCCCTCTCCCTCTGCACAGAACTGCAGAGAGCGGAACATCTCCATCTGAAACAGGAGCACCAGGGAAATACACGGGTAAATAAAACAGGTACATACACAAGTAAATAAACAGGCGCAGGCCTCCCCCTCTTACCTCACCTGTGTGAGGCTCCTCCCCCTCTCATATCTCACCTGTGTGAGGCTCCTCCCCCTCTCATATCTCACCTGTGAGGCTCCTCCACCTCATATCTCACCTGTGTGAGGCTCCTCCCCCTCTCATATCTCACCTGTGTGAGGCTCCTCCCCCTCTCATATCTCACCTGTGTGAGGCTCCTCCCCTCTCATATCTCACCTGTGTGAGGCTCCTCCCCCTCTCATATCTCACCTGTGTGAGGCTCCTCCCCTCTCATATCTCACCTGTGTGAGGCTCCTCCCCCTCTCATATCTCACCTGTGTGAGGCTCCTCCCCCTCTCATATCTCACCTGTGTGAGGCTCTCCCCCTCCACCTCATATCTCACCTGTGCGGGGCTGACACTGATGGCCTGCTTCAGGACGATCCAGGTGACGCTCTCGAGCAGAGGGGGCGTGGTCAGGGAGCCTTCGTAGGTCCAGTACTCGAGGGAGGGGGGCAGCAGAGACCGAGGGTCAAAATCTCCAAGGCCGCACTGTTTTCCCTGAACGCAGCAGCACAGTCACGTACACAGAAACACATGTGCACGTGTAGAGAGAGTCACAGTCAGTCTGGTGTTGGCCACATGAAAACAATGATGTTTTTTACACAGATAATAAACATGGACAGAATAAAACCCTGCAGCAGTGGTTCTCCTGATTTGCTGCTCGATTACAGTTTTCGGCTGCAGATTTCACGATTTGCAGCTTGTAATCTGCAAAATATGATTTTCTTTTTGGGGGCATTCGTGTTCAGTCTGCTCAGTTGTCATTATAAGTTTGTTTAAATTTTATGCGACTGACATAACAAGAGATCGACTAGAGCTCCCTCTCACAGCTTCAGTGTGAACATTTTAATAGATAAGTCACACTGGAGTATAAGTCACTGGACCATCCAAACCATGAGAAAAAATGTGACTTATTGTCCGAAAAATGCAGTACTTTACACTTACACTTGACTGCATACTCATTCTTTACCTGATAAAATTGTATGAATGTCAATATGTTCTTCACCTTTTTTGTGAAAAGACCTTTGATAAATGTAGGTGTCATGCCTTTATCATGGTCTGTATTTAAACGTACCTTGTTCTTGATGGACTCAAAGCAGTCCAGGATTCTCTGCAGTTTGGGGTTGGCTGCTCCGATCTGACCAAAAACAGACACTTTTTAAAATGACATTCATCATTTATCACATGAGTCTAAAGTCTGTCTGTAATAATCAGATTTCTCTTGTTACCTTGAGGAAGACTCCGACCACGGCCAGACCATCAGGCTCTTTGGCTGCGTCTCCAAAACTGGGGTACTTAGTGTTCCAGTGCACCAGGTGGAGCTGTAGAGCACAGGGAGCAGGTCACAGCCTGAAGACTTTTATCTTTATCAGCTTTATCTAATCGCACTTTATGAAGGACAAAGTCAAGTTCATGTGAAAGAAACTGAGCAAAAGCACTTTCAGTTTAGGTTTTTCAACTATAGGCCTTTACTTGACTTAAAATGATTTACTTTTGCGTCTTTGTTCTCATAATTATTTTATAACATTTTATAACCTGACCTAAACTGGAAAAGAAAGATAGATAAAATAGAGGAGCGAGTACCTCACAGGGAAACCTGATGCCGTTGACGGTGTGCTCGGAGCCCTGGTCGTCACTGCTGCCCCAGTGACAGTGGAACTGTCTGAGTCTGTAAACCCCAGAGACAGGACCCCCCCTCAGAGCTGAAGAGGGAAGAGGAGAGAAAAGAGTGAGACGGAGGAGAGAGAGGTCTGTACTAGGGATGGACATTCGATTAAATTTTCTTTATCAATCGTCGAGAGAATTAACAATCGATTATTGATTAATCATTAACGTTTTTATATTAAAATTATCATCATTATTATGACTATCTGCACTACTAATCTGCATAAATAAATTCAACTTTACGACATATAAACCGTAACGACTCTAGAGCCACATCAGCCCGTTTGACATTATAATGTGTTTAATGCAGATTTGTCTCATAGTCTCATAGAAACAAAACTTAAAAACCACATGGCTAATTTGCATAAACTAAGCAAAGAAAAAAAAATAATTCTTGTGTCGCTGATGCGGCACGACTCAGGTGAATACAGGTTAGTGTGACCATATTTGTGTTTGTCAAAACCAGGACACCGTACGGGGGGAGGGAGGTGGGGACTCGTCATCCACATTGTGCTACTCTCACCTAGTGAACTTTTTCCCACTGAAACATATGTGCTGCTCTGTGCACGTGGACTCACACTTGTCCCGAACAGAACAGAAAGCGTGGAATTTCTTGTACAAATCATCGTTAAATACACATTTGTGCTTCGACACGTTGCAGACTGACAGACTGTCTGCTCGCTCCTTCTGAGTGCAGAGAGACACATGTACAGACCCCTGTTTGGTCTCCCTACTCACAGAAACCTACATTCGGTTTGTCAATTAAAATGAACATAATTGATGAAATTTTTAATGATCAGTTATCGATTAATCGACTAATCATGCCCATCCCTAGTCTGTACACCCAGATACAGGACCCCCCCTCAGAGCTGAGGAGAGAGGTCACTGTAGTGTATGTAGACTTGGTTTGGTCCTGCTCTTGTCCTGGTTTAGTCTTGGTTTAGTCCTGGTCTAGTCTAGTCAGGCTGGCGCCATCTAGTGCCTCTGCTCAATTTAATTTCTCTCCAGTGACTAGTTCAGGAATCAGAATACACTAGACGATTCGCAAAAACCCCGGAAGTGTGAGTTCAGGCACCAGCCAATCAGCGAAGAGACAGACATTCTGTGTTGTCAAGGATTCCTGAGATCGAGGATTTAAAGCCGGAACAAAGAGAATGTTTGGTGAATTTTATCAAGGGGAAAGACGTTACTGTTCTTCTTCCTACAGGAATTGGGAAAAGCTTAATTTACCAGTTAACCCCGTTAGCGGAGCATTACATACGTAGTGCAGTGATTGGTTAAATAAAAAAAGTACCCGCCTACTGTTGAGCAAATGAATTGTAATGCTGCGAGGTCAGACGGTTTCTACAAAGTGAAAAAGGCTGATGAATCAGACTAGATCTAGTCCAGGTTTAGTCCCAAATTTAGTTCCAGTTCGGTCTGTTTGTGGGCTCCTTGTCGAGGCCTGATCTTGTCAGATCTCAGAAGCTCAGCGGGGATGGGCCTGGGTAGAACTCGGACGGGAAAATCAGGAGCCACGGGGGGAAGCCGGTGCCAAAAATGTTGTGTCACTGGGCAAGACACTTAACCCACCTTGCCCCCAGTGTCTGTGTCCCCTGGTGTGTGAGTGGTTGTTTGTTGTAAAGCACTTTGAGCCTTGGAAAATATATATAAAACATCACCATTCACCACTGAGTATGAATGTCGTCTGAGTGTTTGTGGTCAGAGGGTCAGTGGTGCAGATTGGCAGCCATTTCAGACAGTCTGTCCCAGGGCAGCTGTGGCTACTGTAGCATCTTACCACCTCTGGGCACGGAGGGAATGAATAATGCACATGATCGTGACGTTGAGCGTCTGTGAGACTGAAGCTTTGTGCTGGAGGCGACGGGGACGTCCTCGAGTTTACTGCAGTAAATCTGTTTTATAAATGTCCCTGCGACTGTGTCCTCAACTTTACAGAACAAACAGCTCAGAGCCTCTCGACCTTCAGAACCAGACCCGGACTCAGACTCAGAACCAGACCCGGACTCAGACTCAGAACCAGACCCGGACTCAGACTCAGAACCAGACCCGGACTCAGACCCAGACCCGGACTCAGACTCAGAACCAGACCCGGACTCAGACTCAGAACCAGACCCGGACTCAGACTCAGAACCAGACCCGGACTCAGACTCAGAACCAGACCCGGACTCAGACTCAGAACCAGACCCGGACTTAGACTCAGACCCAGACCCGGACTTAGACTCAGACTCAGACCTAGACCCAGACTCAGACTTAACTCAGACTCAAGACTTAGACTCAGACCTAGACTCAGACTCAGACTTAGACTCAGACCCGGACTCAGACTTAACTCAGACTCAAGCCTTAGACTCAGACCTAGACTCAGACTCAGACTTAGACTCAGACCCGGACTCAGACTTAACTCAGACTCAAGACTTAGACTCAGACCTAGACTCAGACTCAGACTTAGACTCAAGAGTTAGACCCAGACTCAGACCTAGACTCAGACTCAGACTCAGACTTAACTCAGACCCAGACCTAGACTCAGACGAAGACTTCGACTCAGATTTAGACTCAGACTCAGACCCAGACTCAGACCCAGACTTAAACTCAGACTTAGACTTAGACTCAGACTCAGACTCAGACTCAGACTCAGCCTTAGACCCAGACCCAGACTTAGACCCAGACCCAGACTTAGACTTAGACCTAGACCCAGACTCAGACCCAGACTTAGACTCAGACTCAGACTCAAACCCGGACCCAAACTCAGACTTAGACTCAAGAGTTAGACCCAGACTCAGACTCAGATTTAGACTCAAGACCTAGACCCAGACTTAGACTCTGACTTAGACCCGGACCCAGACTCAGACCAGAGGAGGAGCAGGGTGTGGGAGTTTTATCACACTGTGGGGACTAATATCTGTACACACTGGCATCGTGGGGCCCAGCCTTGGCGCCTCCCTCATGGTTCTTTTAGGGACAAAATCTTGTTTCCGTGACAACAACCCCTCAGTATTAGACACAGACCCTCCCCATAAAAGCTCCAGTGCACCTTTAACATATGTGGGAGATTAGTTTGGCAAGAAGAAGAGCTCAAACTGTACGACCAAATCACAGGGTTTAAAAGTTCACAGCTCACGATTCAGGTTTGATTTTCTTGCGACCTACAGTTGCCGGTCGTGAGGTCGTAATCAGTTCTCGTGACCCCGTGTTTACTACGTGAAGTACGACACACAGTTAAGCCAAAAGTCGGCCCAATCCCCCAAAAAAATCGTCTCAAAAAGGGCCAAAAATCACACAGTGTACGCCCGGTTTAAGGGTAAGACTAGAAGGGGTTTCCAGGATATGAATGGAAGTCAATGTAATGTCTCCAGAAGCATGGAAACCAAAACTGTGTGCGTCTGTGTGTGTGCGTGTGTGTGTGTCTTTGTGTGTGTGCGTGTGTGTGTGTGATTGCAGTAAACAGACTTATCGGTTTGAGCCTGCGAGGGGCGGGGCTCAGTCTCCCGCCGAGATAACGAGCATCAGAAGAACGAACAAAACTTCCTCAGATATTACACCGTTTAATAAAAAATATTAGATACTACACCGTTTCATTTCAATCTCAAGAGGTTTAGATTTTCAGTGAAATCGTGACAGACGTCTTTGGTTTTTAGTCTTTAGTTTTTAGTCTTTAGTTTTTAGTGTTTTTAGTTTTTAGTCTTTTGTTTTGGTCTTAAGTTTTTAGGCTTGAGTTTTTAGTTTTATTTTGTTTTTGTTTTTAGTCTTTAGATTTAAGTTTTTGGTCCTAAGTTTTTAGTCTTTAATCTTTCGTTTTTAGTTTTTAGTCTTTAGTTTTTAGTCTTCATTATTTAGTTTTTAGTCTGTGGTCTGTAGTTTTTAAGCCTTTAGTTTTTAGTCTTTAGTTTTTAGTTTTTAGTCTTTAGCCTTTAGTCTTTAGTTTTGGTCTTAAGTTTTTAGTCTTTAGTTTTTTGTTTTTGTTTTTAGTCTTTAGATTTTAGTTTTTGGTCCTTAGTTTTTAGTCTTTAATTTTTCGTTTTTAGTCTTTAATTTTTCGTTTTTAGTCTTTAGTTTTTAGTGTTTAGTCTTCAGTTTTTAGTGTTTTAGTTTTTAATTTTTAGTCTTTAGTTTTGGTCTTAAGTTTTTAGTTTTTAGTCTTTAGTTTTTTATTGTTTTTAGTCTTTAGATTTTAGGTTTTGGTCCTTAGTTTTGAGTCTCTAATTTTTCGTTTTTAGTCTTTAGTTTTTTGTTTTTAGTCTTTAGTTTTTAGTTTTTGGTCCTTAGTTTTTAGTCTTTATTTTTTCATTTTTAGTGTTTTAGTCTTTAGTTTTTAGTTTTTATTCTTTAGTTTTTAGTCTTTCGTTTTCAGTCTTTAGTCTTTAGTCTTTAATGACGATCCAAAGCAAACCGCTAAAATCAGACTACACGAGACCGATTACGCCGAGGTGTTTCTTACTGGAGGAGTCGGACTCGTCGATGAAGTCGACCTGGAAGGAGTGCCCGTTGTTGAGGATGCCGTTGGCGTCGTTGGGGTCGTAGGTCAGCTTCAGGGGTTTGAGGTCGGGGTCGTACACGGCCTCTTTAGGGACGATGTTTATGGGGCTCTGACGGGGTCCATCGGCCACAGGGTACTCCTCCACCCACGTGTCCGGACCTGGCAGCAGAGGAGAACACGTTTAAATTTGTTATTATAAAGAATTGAGTTTTGTTTTGTTTTATTTTATTTTATTATTATTTTTTTTTTATTTATTCATTTTATTTCATTTCATTTTGACAAAGAGCCCATATTACTCTAATCCCATATTTTCTAATCTATGTTATGGGCGTCTGAAGCTCGGTAGGTTGTGCGTTTGTCCACAGATCTGAAGCGTGGTGGTTCAAATCCCGCTCTCAACATAAAAAAAAACATCATTGGTTGAGTGATCAGATCCACAGACAATGAATGTCATTGTGTCCTTGGGCAAGACCCTTAACCCACATCACTCCTAGTGTCCCTGTACACTGGTGTATGAATATGTGAATATAAATACAAATATATATACATATATATATATATATATATATATATATATATATATATATATATATATATATATATATATATATATATATATATAGGTGGCAAGGTGGGGTAAGTGTCTTGCCCAAGGACACAACAACATGGAAAAATGTAATCACTGACTGGTTGAAAACTAAAATAATCATTAGTAACATATAAATAAAATAAAACATTAAAAGCAAACTTAAGTCTAAAAATAGTAGTAGTAGTAGTAGGGTTCGGTCAAGTGGTAACGGAGGGAAACGGGCAGATTTTTTACATTCAAATATATTCAGAAACTAGAGGGACTATTGAAATAAGTAAAGTATCAGAATGTAGGAAAGAGTTAACAGTCCAACAGGGTCAAGTTAAACCTGTGATATTCTTTCAAGTTGTTGACAAAAAATGTAAAAACTCATGTCGGTAACGGAGGAAATGAAATATACAGCACTTTTTCGTCAATAAATACAAACAGTTTGAATATTTGCTTCATATAGTTTTCTACCATATGGTACAAGATTAGGTTGAAAAACCTCTTACTTTTTGAGTCATGAGATTTTTTATTAAGAAAGGTCATGGTAACGGAGGGAAAAGTAACGGAGGGAAAATTGTTCAAACAAGTAGAAGGTGCAGGATTTTACATAATTTGTCAACTTTTTTCTTCCAAATACTTTAATATTACTTCAAAATGAAAGGAAACTATTTCTATAAAATATGTCACTCCTTCCAAGCAAATTTTTATCATTTTAAATACTTTTTTTTTTTTTTTTTTAATCATGTACCTTCATCAACAGTTCAAAGATCAAATAACACAAGATATGATGAAATACATCCATTTATTTACATGATTTTCAGGTCTTTGAAATTTGGGAAATAATTTTTTTCCATGTTTCATACATGGTCTGTTTAAAACGGATGTAACTTTAGAACCAAAAATGGTACAGAAAAAAGGTCAACAGTTTCATAAACTAGAGCACATATGTATCTGTTCAATACATTTTTATATCAGATGAATTAACTAGAATTTTTGGCCTTGTTGTTTACTTCTGCTTGACCGGGCCCAGTAGTAGTAGTAGTAGTGCGAATAGTAGTAGTAGCGGTAGTAGTAGTAGTAGTAGTTGTAATAATACATTTATAGGACAAAATAAAACCTTCCCTGGACAGATAAAATGTGGTTTTGATCTGAAATAAAACTACAAAATATTAAAGAAATTACATCTGCAGTTTTTGTTCTTAACATATATATATATATATATATATATATATATATATATATATATATATATAACATAATTACTTTGTGAAAATTCTACTTTTTGTAATGTACTAGTAACAACTACTACTGATACTACACTTTGTAATGATGTCATGAATCACACTAAATCCAAACTTAAATTTCCATTGTGTAACTTTTCAGGTCAGATCTGTCTGTTTCTCTAGGTATTTTCGAGCTATAAAACCATCTGTAATTTAATAAAAGTAAGGTGTAGCTGTTTAAAGTCACACTGCGGAACATTCCAGGCAGTTTAATGACATTAAATAATCAATCAAACTTTATTTATAGAGTCCAATAAAACCAACACGATATAAAAACACTCAAAATATTAAACAGTTAAATAAAACAAACTGTGCAAAGTGTTTGAATAAATGAGTTTTGAGTCTATCCTTAGAAACAAGCGCAAAAAGTTACACAATGTGCCTTTAAATGATAAAACCAGCTCTAGAAAACAAACATAAAAACATCAAAATAATCTTTACCGTTGTCGGATCCATAGCCCCAGCCGTGAGACATGGTTCTTCTTCTTCTCTTCTTCTTCTTCTTCTTCGTGATAAAAAAAGAGTTTATCTGAGCTGAGTCCGTCTCCTCTGGTCTTATAAGGACCTGCCCTGAGCCCGGTCTGGAGGCGGGACCAGGACTAACACCGGTCTACAGCTGGTCTATCGCAGAACCAGGTCTAGGTCTAGGACTAGGACTGGGTGTGGGCGGGGCTTAAAGGTGCATTGTGTAACTGTCATTTTTTTGCTGGAGGGTCCGTGAAACACTTCTGGAGATGTTACTTTTTTGTGTCTGTGTGTCTGTGTGTGTGTGTGTCCACCTGTGATAATTCTGCCATTTATGGACCGATTGTCACCAAATTTGGTACGTGGGTCAAGCCCTCGTGCCTTATGCCAGAAGAAAAAAAAATTGGTGACGATACGAGGTCATTTGAGGTCACACGGGTCAATTGAAAGGTCACGCCATTATAAAGGGTTTAGGCAATTTCTGCAATTTCTGAACCATTTACCCAATCATCATACAAGTTGGCACACACATAACCGGGTACACTGGATATTACAGGTTGAAACCGGTTAATATATGTGTTTTTGGTGGTAACTCCGCGAAGGATCAAGCTCGAGCAACGGGAGTATCTCAAAATCTCAGAAAAATTATTATCTATTTATAATTCTAGGCATTTGTAGAGTCAAATCTTAATAGTTTTCCAGATAATCACTGATTATAAAAGTTCCTTTCTCTTTCAGTGTATTTTGTTAAAATTCTAATTGGAACAAAAATAATTTCCATTCCAATTTCTGAACCATTTGCGGGCTAAAATATTCACCTAATCATCCCACAAGTTGGCACACACATAAACAAAGTACACTGGATGTTACAGGTTAAAACCGGTCCAGGTAGCCAAGGTCAAATATGCGTTTTTGGTCATAACTCCGCGAAGCATCGAGCTAGAGCAACGGGAAATTACTCAGGAAAATTATGATCTATTTATAATTCTATGTATTTGTATAGTCAAATATTAACAGTTTTCCAGATAATAATTATAACAGTTTCTTTCTCTTTCAGTGTATGTAAAATAATTTTAATTTCTTGTTTTTCTGGTTATACACAACACACTGATCTACAGTCACACAACTAACACATACACACAACTCATGAAAAGTGACATTTTGGTGACACACTAGTAAACACAGACATTCTCATGTTTGACCAATATCACACAAATGTTCATGGGCCTGTACACATACACACATTACATTGTGGATATATTGATCATGTAATATGGGCTGGATTCCTCATAAACTGCTTCTGTGGTGATGAACTGACCCACCGACACCTCATGGGGACCAGGTTGATGTCTCTGATTGCGCTTGTGTTTTTTTGTTTTTTGTTTTACTTTTTACTTTCAAAGCAAGTTGCTAAGGCATACAAGATTATTATTATTATTATTAAGAATGCGATCACTGGCACCGGCTTCTCACGGAGGAAAAGTGAGATCGAGGGAGGGGGGTTGTGACAAAGAGTGATGAACCGCACGGTGGTGCCTCTGAAAGCTCTTGGTGCTTACGCTGTGCATGAGTGTGTTGCATTCAGGTGATATTTCTGACTTGTGAAACTCCGGTGATAAGACAGTTCAGTGTTGCAGTTTTACAAATTACTTTGTCTGTGTCGACTGCGCCGTCTGAAGAACTTTAAAGGGCCCACCTCATGCAAAATCAACTTTTCAGAGCTTTCTACCTTCTAAGAGTGATGTGTGGGCCTTGTATTTGTTGCGGAAGTGTTTTTTAGATTGATTCTGCGTTTTTTTTTTAACAAATTGCAGCGTATTTCTGCCACCCTCCCACGTGACGACGAACTAAAGCTGCTACAACGATGACGCGGCAGATACACCTATGACACTTTTGACGTAGCAGAAAGAGCTTCACACCCGCCCCGTCCACCACTCCACCGCTCCATCGCCTCCACCCCGCATCGCCTGACAATTTCCACATGAACATCTAAACAAAAGCGACAGCATAAGCTCATTGTTCTACTCTGCAGTTACACGATATAATAAGTTTATCTACTAGTGTTTATTAATCCTTTACCAATCAATAATGTTCAGCTGATGTGGACGCGGTGCTTGAGCTTCATGCTCCTCAAAGTCCTCGTCCGATTCTGGGTCCAACACATGCGGCTGAACGCGCTGTATCTCCATGATGAATAAAAGTTTATTCCTGCCTCTACCAGTGTACACGCCTGTCTCCCCCTCCCTCCCTGAGATGGCGGAGGAAGGGCGGCTCACTCATCGCCTACGTCACGTTTGGAGGGCGGAGCCTGTGCTTTCTCAGGACGGGCGGGGGGAGGAGCAATAGTCGGACTTTCATAGTTCCTGGTCTGTGACGCCTCCAAGAAATCAGTAAGATTTCAGAACTATTGTGTCATGGATGTTCCAAAACCCAAATTGTGCTTGTTTATGTGCAGAAGATACAATGTGCAAAGAGTTATTTTGCATCAGATGGGCCCTTTAAAATGAAAATGGTCATGTTAAAGTTCCTCACCTTTCTCCATGTTTGTTTTTCACGCTTTCTTTCTCTCTGTTTTCTGTGACCACGTGGACGAGGAACGGAACGGAGGAACGAACCGAAAAAGCGAGCGCCATGTGCCACTTCTAGACACGACTGAACAACCCAGTCACTGCGAACAATCCGTTGGTCCCAGACAGCACCCTCCCTACACGCCACAACTGAACAAAGCCAGAGTCACCGTGAACGCCACAAACAAACAAAACCACTCACCCATCACACTGTTGTGTTTCCTTTAAAGTCCAGTGTGGTTTATTTGTGAAAAAAGTTTGAAAATAGACCATTTAATGACAGTGCGCTTTATAATCCAGAGCGCCTAATAACCTGGAAAATACGGTAATTACTTGAGTGTAATCTCTGTTATTGATCCGTGTGTGTAATCTGTCAGCGTGTATCAGGTTGTTGGGCGACAGGAGCGGCTCCGTGGGCTGCACCTGTCACATTTTGGTAACGCTCTTGAGGTCCGCAGAGGCCAGTTCGAGGGCTGCGGCCTTCACTGCATCGCTGGACCCTGGAGATGACGGGGTCGCGACGTCATCGTTTTCCAAAAGCTGCGGTTTGCTCGTCCACACGACAACGTGACGCCGGCATTCTCAGATTTCTCCACTCTGGAACCCGTTCTCAAAAAGCAAAGTTTTCACCGACCCAAAACGCTGGCTCTGTGTGGACGAAAGACCAAAATGAATACAAACGTCACCGCTTCAACTAAAAAAACGTTGTTGTGTGGATAGACCCTTAGTTCTTTGGATTAAGCCTTTTTAAGAGGAAAAAGAAGCATGTTAACCGTTTTGTTGCCTCCACATAATATCGCAATAAATACTATATCGAGAGATGTATATCGTGAAAATATTGTACTGAGAGATTTGGATACTGTTATATCCCTAATCGTGAGCTTTCCCACGATATCGCAATAAATATCATACCGTGAGGTTCATACCGTGACGATATATCGTATCGTGAGACTTGGATATCGTTACAACCCTAGACTTGTAATTCGATGTACTGTGATGGTCCACGATATTATTGTGAGACTTCTTGACGATACGATATCACGATATTTCGGTTATTGTGACATCTCTATATTTATTATGATCTCGCAAACGCCTCAACAAATACAAATGCGACAACACAACAAAAAGCCACAACAAACCAAAAAAGCCACAACGGAAATGACCGCGGGACTCTATTTTAATACAAACGCCGCAACAAATACAAACGCCACAACACAAACGCAAATGCCACAACACATTAAAAAGCCACAACACATTAAAACGCCACAACACATTAAAATGCCGCAACACATTAAAAAACCACAACACATCAAAAAGCCACAACGGAAGTGACTGCGGGACTCTATTTTCCGTCAAACCGATCAAGCGGCAAGTGAAGAAGAAGAAGAACTACAATGTGACTCTATTTTCCGACGGAAAATAGAGTCACTTTCGTTGTGGCTTTTTAATGTGTTGCGGCTCTTTAATATATTGCGGCATTTGCGTTTGTGTTGTGGCTTTTTAATGTGTTGCGGCTCTTTAATATGTTGCAGCATTTGCGTTTGTGTTGTGGCGTTTGTATTTGTTGCGGTGTTTGCATTAAAATAGAGTCCCGCGGTCATTTCCGTTGTGGCTTTTTTTGGCTTGTTGTGGCTTTTTGATGTGTTGTTGCATTTGCATTTGTTGCGGCGTTTGCGTTTGTTGTGACCCCTCTCGGCTTCCGTACAATATATGATTATAACGCGGGCCAGATTTGAGTTAGACACGTCTGATTTAGGTCATTTTCAGCTTTGGAAATATCAATCTCTGCTGAACTAAAGGGAAAAAGGAGCTGTGAACTTGAAAACTTCATGACATCGCAAGGTGGAACAGAGCGTTTTGAGCTTTGGAGATGTAGACAGACTAAAAATAAAGAGTTACTCAGACGTGTGAGTGAAACAAAACACAAGTCCAGGTCTGTTTTTGAGGATTTAACTTAATTATAACACGACTCAAAGCTCACAGGAGTCAATATTTGCGTAATATAAAACCTTAAAGTAAATTTTTTTCATGTGATACTTTTACTTTTACTTGTTTTTTTGTTTGTTTTTTTGCTCTGGTATCTGTATTTTTACTTAAATTAACAAAACAGAGTACTTCCTCCGCCTCTGATTTTGATGCTTGACCTTTGCACTGATAATTGGCATCTGTGGCATTTCCGTTTCGTGAAGGAGCGGCTGGAGGAAGCGGCTCAGGGTGGAGAGACCTGGTTTATACATTACTCTCATCATTTTATGTAAAGCCACGCGGCTCACAAAATAACAACATTTTCCTAGAAACGAAACATGAAGAAATTACTGTCTGCTAACAACAGTTTTCACAGGTTTTTTGCACAATAAACACAATAAAAATCTAAATAAACACGCTTTTATTTTAGTACAGTATTTTGACTAAAAAGTTTATATATTTTTATAAACTTTTACATTTGAATCGTTCTGTTTCCAATAAAAGCCCAAATCACGTTGATAAAACCTTTACCTCCTGCACCTCTAAAGCCTTCACGGGTCTTCTCTGTTGCCATGGTGAATGCGAGAGCTCCATGGAAACAG